AACCCTGTCCCGTCTTTTGTAATTAACCAACTAGATTTTCCAGCTTCTTGATGTAAAAATGTATGACAATCTGAAATAGAATATCGCAGGAACCTTAACATTTGTGGAAATTCTTGCAAAGGAAGAATACTATAGCTGATAATATTGCCACCAGCTGAATAGATCGTATGTGTGTTTGAATTATTTTAACCGTTGTCTGGGAAGTTCCGGTGTACTAAGACAGAAAACTGTTTTCCTTATTTTTCTTTCATACTCTTTCCGGCCTTTTTTTTTTCAATACTTTTTTAGTTTCCCCACTTGGATCAGATCCATTGCTGAATCCCATCGTGTTACTCACATCTTCCCTCGCAAGTTTAAATTTCCTGTTAAGTTGCCGCTGTGGCTAGACATGAGTGGAAATATTGTCTAGTAAAACTGTAAAATTTGTCTTTCCTGGTTACCGATTGGTTTTTATTGTGAGGGGGGGATTTTTATCATGATGGAATGAATGATTTTAAAGTTGCTCATATTTCTTCTTATCAAAATCGTACAACCGATGAGAATGAGACTTTTAATAGTAAATTTACCAAACAATAAGTATTTACACAGATTAGTTCTGCGATTATTAGCCATTTTGTATTAATTGCATAACTACTACTCCGTAAGAATGTAAAATATCATTGTATCTTTTTCTGATGTTTTATTTATTTATTGCACATTTTGTTTGTCTTTTTTTTAAGTTGTGTGGACAGCGCTTCAGTCAGTGGTCGTTTTACCTTCATACCTTTTTCAAAATTTGATTTATGTATTATCTCTCATAAATACGGGAAATCTTCCAAAACTACTTTTCTTCTAATAAATGCTCTTTTAAATAGAAATTATAAAAGTTGTGTAGGTCACCATGAGAAAAACTGAACATTGACACGATGAAATGGGGGGGGGATAGAAAAATAAGAAAATGTATGGCAACACATAACACCCTGTCGTAAGTTCTGAAGATAAGCTACTTTTAAAAATTTTGTAATTTTACTGTTGAATTTCACGTGGCGTAAATGCAAAGAAAGTGATGTTTAACTATAAAGTTAAAAAGACAAAGTTAATAATAAAGTTAAAAAGACAAAGTTGTGTGACTGGGAGCGAGTCCAAGAGCAAATTGATAAATTGCGAGCTCAGCGAGAACCTTAAATTCTCTGGTGCTACGTTAAAAATCTGAATCCTCTCAGATTTTTTAAAAAATTTATATTTAATGCTTTACCACCACCAAAGTGATGTCTTGTTCGAAGTCCTTTCTTTTTCGTCACTCTTCATTTCTTTTGCTGTCTGCGAATTCAGAGCACTTTGAAATATGAGGTCGTTATTTAACTCTTTCACACTTTGTCCATTTTTATCGCATTCAATCCATTTAGCAGTTTCCTTTTCTAAAAGCGTCATTAATGAATGGTTCGAAGATAGACTTTCATATGTTTCCAATGACTCAGAATGGTTGATCATTGGATCATCATGGTGTCGATTTCTTCGGGAGAATTTTTGCGTTCTGACATTTGGCCGTAATTTTCGACAAGCTTATGCAGTGTTATGTTGTACATGTTCAGACCGTAGCAGCAGTGAAAATTGCATCTTTTGTATTAAACTGTATTTGAAATTCTTGACACTGCAATTGCACTTTATAACTTTTGCACAAATGAATTCGTATATTTGCAGAATTAGTCATTTTTTTGATCCATAGCTTGAGATTTTTTGCTTTCCAGTTTTTTTTTTTAAATCATTTTGTATTTAAAAATCAGTGATACTATGTTGATACATTTCGGTATTTTTAAGATAAGCCTTCAAATGCAAAAGTTAAAAAAAAAAAAAAAAAAAAAAAAAAAAATGTTTTGTAGACATGAGGCGTGTAGACGATTCTGATAGATTGCTGCTCTTGGAAAAGAATTCCATGGTCTGATTGCTTTATCACTCGACCCGGATGTATTAAACAATTTGTTGAATTCTTTCCCTCCTTGCTGCGTTTTCCCGCATCTCTTTTCCTTTTTTTTTTTTTTTTTTTTTCTTGAATGTGAATTTCTTGGAAATGTCTGGCTCGATGAAATATAATCGATTATCATCAGAAATGTGCCGGATGTTGCAGTTAACGTGGTGCTGAATGACTTCTTTTGCAAATTCGGCGCGTATTTTCATTTCGATGTAGACTTTTATAAACAGAGTTTAAAAAACTCACATAGGAAAGAGAACTTAAAAAAGAATTTTTTGTGTAAGGGAATTCCAACTGGATTCCAACTTTTCAAAATACGTGAATTTCACGTTGTATTTTCTTTTTCCATAATGTTTCAGTTCATTTTCTTAATCTGGATTTCATTTCTGTTTCTGGATTACCTTTCAATTTCTGTATTGCAGAAATTTCTGAAAAATATGTTTTAAGGCACCAAAGTCGACAGGAAAGAAGATTTTATTATTTTTTAAAATGTTGTAGGTGTGTATACTGTGATATATATTACAGTACATTCTGGAAATTTATTGATTTTCCGTACTTTATTTTTTCGTAATCCAGGGTTACCTTCTCTTCGCTGTGACAAACCAGACACGAAAAGCTGTCAATTTATTTTAATATTTACTGTTAGATACCACATTAGGTAAAAAGTTAATTTATCACAGCTAAGCGCGCAAATTCAATCTTTGTTTTAGAATGTGCTTGTTAGTATTTTAAACAGTATTAAAAGTCAGTATTTTAAAAAGTTCGTGATAATTACAAAATGAATAATAATGAAGGAATAATAATAAAATTAGTTGATAACAAAGAAAAAATAATAAGAAGAAATAATAATATAAAGAAGGGATAATAAATAAATAAACCCCTTGAATATTTGTGAAGTTATACTCCTTCAGCAAATATATTTTTATTTATATCACAAAATCGCTTAGGATTAGAAATTATTTTCCGTAGTCAAACAGAAAATTGTTCAAATCCAAGTCCGAATCAGGCACTTTCTCCTGTGAGCCTTGAGTGGCAATTGACTAAAGTCACGAAATTCTGTTATTTCATTTCTAGGTTTGATTTCTGCTGGCAGAATAAGCTGGCTGCAGGAATATTTTCTTTTATTTTGAAGTATGTAATGTGAAAAATGTGAGCCAATTTCCCTTCTTCAGCCCTCTCCACAAAATAATTTCTCTTCACCTTATGTGCTTTGCCTTATTTTGCTTCTTTATTTGCTTATTAGTTCTACAGACCAGTGTATAACAAACCATTCTAGCAAGGAATAATATAAATTGCTCAAGAAATCATGATCTGAAATGAAGTCTTTAAAACTTTATTCCTGACATGTTTTATCTAATTATACTTTAAAATTCCATGAACAAATGTGCGTTAAAATTTTGCAAATAAACGTGCTTTAAACTTTCATGCCAAAATATATGAATCTTATGCTTTAAAAAAGGAAAACAAATCATTTGTCTGTTGGTCTGCACAATGCAAGTTTAGTTATGCTGCTTCCAAAATCATCCAAGGAACTGTTATATTTTTTTGTCATATTACTTTTTCCAAATATTATTTTTTTCTTAAACAGTACAGTTTTTGGAAAGTATGATTCCAATGTCAGAGAGCCAGCCTTGAATATGCACTCTAACATAGATAGAGTGTTAAATGTATGATTTTTGTAATAGATGCCCTTTTTGGAAGTTTTATCTAGGGAATGCCTGTTTTATGTAATGTGAGGATGAGAAAGATTAGCTAATAGTATGATTTTTTGCTGTATATACAACCAAGCAAAACACTGAATCGGTATTTTTTTTCCCCCTGAAAATGACTCATGAGGCTATACAAAGCATTTCTCCAAGTGCAGATATATAAAATTTGGTAAAATTATACAAGGTGTTATGAAACACCAAAAAGAAATGTATGCTTTACTGTGGGAATTTCATTGGAAATATGGTCATTCATTAATTAATGGCCACAGATATGATACAGTTAGGAAGGAAGTTACAGCTGATGCTTCAGTTATAGGAACTGATCTGAATAATATTGATGGCGTTACTGGACCAGTGTCCAAGTTCTTGAGCAGTTGCTTGAAAAGACCTTCATTCCTTGTATAAGATAACTGGCCCTTTGAGAACTGCATTAAAACATTCCGTAATAAAAATATTAATTCTATATTTCCCCCCTCCCCTTCCCTGTTTTACTAGTATACACCTTTTTATAGAAAAACATAAAAATAAAACTACATCTGGATAGACATATAATGCTGTACTGCTTTTAAACATATATTCTAAACATATACTGCTATGCTGCTTTTAAAATTTTTGTGATTTTGCTCTTGAATTGTGTATGGCATGTGGAGAAAACAGTGCTTAATAATAAAGTTAAGACAAAAAAAAAAAAAAAAAAGAGGGGGGTGTTAACAGGAGTAAATGTAAGAGCAGACTGGTTGACTGCGAGCTCACTGAGAGCATAAAAAACCTTAACAGATTTTTTTGGGTGACCATTAGACAGACAACCAGATTTAGGACTGTATACTGTAATTGCAATGTTGATATTTGTAAATAACAGTGAAGCTATCGGATAGAAATTGTTGTTCAAATAGCAGTCATTTTATTAACAATCTTGCTGTGATAAAGTATATCAAATATTTTTTTTTAAATGTTCTAGTTTATTTTTGTGCACTGATAAATAAAAAACTAGTGCCATACTTTGAGAAATCTTGAATGATCAGTGCTTAGCAGTGATTCATCAATTCCTTTCATTGCCATTTATTTTTTCATTATGGTGAAGGAATGTTTATCTTAAGATTACCTTGCAGTTATCCCTGCAGTTTCCTGGTTATTGTTTGCTTTGCTATTTTACTAAGAGATTTTTGTAACATATGTATGTAGGTTTTAAAGGTACTTTCAAAAACGAATGTCTGTAAACGAAGAATTTTTTAATCTAATAGATCTATTAGATTTTTAATCTATTTCTAATTTTGTTACATTTGTTACCTAATTTAAAGTTGCACATATTGATTTTACTTAATTTTCTATTCTGATTTTTTTAGATGGTGCCTGGATATTACATCAAACTATATAAAGTCCATTGCCAGTATTTCCTCCAGAGCTACAAAAAATATACTATGTGAGCTTGCTAGTCATGAATCAGAATGATGAGCAGGATTTTGCCAACTTTCAAAACATGATCATTCCTCACATGCAAATTAGAGATTCCAAGTCCCCGCCTAAAGCCCAAGTGGATGAGGCTTCTCTCCAACAAGCCATGGATAAAAACAAAGAATGTAAGAATTCCGTTGAAGCATGTAATATATTTCAGCTGTGCATTGCTTTTAAGTGTATTATTTAATGATCTGAATGTGAGTTTTGAAGGAAATGTCAGATTGTAATATCAAATTTCCCTTTATTAATTTCAATTTTATGAAAATTTTATTTATCCATATCAAATGATGTAATTAGAAATATGTGCTGCGTAAATATTGACAAGTTATTTTCAGAATGGTACTTATCATTTAATCAGTTATTGAATACTATATTTAACAGCTTTGAAAGTGAAGTTAATGACAAGGAGGCCTATAAATCAGCTGGTTGAACAAGGAATTATGCCATGTACGTATTGTTACTCTGTTTTTAATTTTTGTTTTAATATATTTTTGATTATCAATATTAATAAGTATTTTTCTTGTAGCTTTAAAAGTTCCACCTCATTTCTATGAACAACGCCAGAAGTTGGAGAGGGCAAAGGTAATGTATATTAAGCTGGTGACCCTGTCAATTAACTTTATTGAACTTGATGTTGTCTAAAATTTAAGAAAATCCTAATATTTTTGTATTGTAGGTGGAATTTAGGGATTATTTAAATGGATTCATATTAAAAAATAAATAAATTTATCCAAATTATTACAAAACATTGTAAAATTAAATACTTTTCCGTTATGCAGGCACAACGAAAAACATTGCTAAAATTGCTATAGCATGTCAAAGATAGCAACAATGTGATCAGCTGAGTTATCTTAGTTTTATGAGTGGAATTGAGCCAAATATTTATATGTAATGGTTGGCAGCCTTTTTAATAGGACTGCGCAAAACATAATTTGATAGATGACTTTCTTTATATACTTTATTTACTAAAAGCATGTTTTTTATTGGGGAGGGTGGAGAAAATGTATTTCACAATCTGGAACTAAAGAAGAGGAGGAGGCAATGAATGTACTTAAAGTATATTGATACTGTTATAATAAAATGTATGTAGGTCAGTCAGAAAGTTTGTTGCACTACTGCGTAAATATGTTCCGTCTAAGACTATTTGGATGAAACTGTGTGGCAGCACTTCAGACATGTACTTTCATCGCGTGACATAGCGGCTTCCCCAAGGCAAGTTTAGTTTTTCTGATAATCAGTTGCAAACATGTCTCGACAGCTCCAAATAGCGTCCGATTGGAAATGCGTGCAGTGATTTGTTTCGTGTGGGCAAAAATGTGCAACTGCACTGAAATTTATGGGCAGTTGCATGAAGTGTATGGTGAAATTGCAATGTCCCATCAAGCTATCGTGAAATGGTGCAACATGTTTGAGAATGGACATACAGATATTGACAATGCTGAGCGTGAGGGAAGACCATCAACTGCAACAAATTTGGAAATCGTTGCTCGCGTGAATGAATGCATTCATGCATACAGACGCATAAGATGAAATCTGAAATGAACTGGATGTTTCTCATGGAAGTGTGCATAAAATTATTGCCGATCACCTTAAATTTCGTAAAGTTTGTGCTCGATGGGTGCCACATCTATTGACGGAGGAACATAAAGGAAAGCATTTTGAAAGTGCATTAGCATTTCTGCAACGTTATCAAACAGAAGGAAAGGATTAAGACACAATAACACGCCGAATAAATACTAATTCAGAAGTCAAACAACAAAAATCAGCGTTATATTTTCACAATTTTCACAGGACTAGTTTTGATGGTTTTACTGAACCACCATCCTCAGCTGCAAAACCGCAAATGAACAAGTTAGGAAATAATGATTAGATAAGAAAAGAAAGCCTGGACAGGAATAAGCAAGTGACCCCATCTGTTGATGAAACCAGAACTAAAACATATAATTTCTTTAAAGGCCGAAGTCAAAGGTGGATTGGAATTAGGATCGTTAACTAAAACAGAAAGATTTTTTTGAATGTGAAATTCTTCTAGAAAATCCAATTCTCCAATGGAAGATGTTTTTTGAATAATTTTGGCAGCAGAAAAATTGAAAGTGTGATTTTCGGACCAACAATGGTGAACAACAGAAGACTTCTGTGTTTCCTTTTTTTCTAACATATGCCTCATGTTCCCTTGACTCGAAATTTTAAGGCTGTGTTAGTTTGGCCAATGTAAATTAAACCACACTGGCAAGGAATCCTATAAATACCCCAGGAATTCATATCCGGAACAGGGTCCTTGAGTATGGAACTCGGAATTTTATTGATGGAAGAATACACAATCCGAAAGTTAAATTTCTGCAAAATATGTGCAACTTTATAGCTAATTGATGGAAAGAAGGGAATGACAACAGAATTTTTATTATCTCCTAAAACAAGAGTATGCCTTTTAGTTTGTGAGATGATAATTTTTTAACTGCTTGATTAATAATGTTGGGTGAAAAGCCCCTGTCAATAGCTATTGCTTTTAAATAATTTAGTTCTTCATCAAGGGCTAGTTTTGAAGAGCATACTTGAAGAGCACAGAAAACATAGGAATAAAATGAAGCTAACTTTTGCTTAGTTGGATGACATGATTTAAAGTGTGGTGGAAGGCATATTGATGAAGGTTTACGGTAAACCGTAGCGCTGAAGTTGGATGTGTTACGTGTGACCAGAATGTTGAGAAACGGAAGAGAATTGCAAGTCTCAAGTTCAAAAGTGAACTGAATAGCAGGATCAATGGAATTCGTTGTTGAAAGAACTTTATTTAAATCATCTTTATTACCTTCAAACAGAGGTAAAAGTATCGTCTATCGTAGCGGAACCATGCCAGGAAGTTTAAAGTTTCGAAACAATTTTTGATTCATAATAATGCATGTAGATATCAGCCAACATAGGACAACATAGTCAACATAGGACTGAAGGGGGCTTTCCCATGGCTAATCCCTCAGTTTGCTTGTAATATTTATTTTGGAAAACAAAATGTGTTTGTTTCAAACAGAGTTGAGTGAGAGAAATTAGCTCATCACTTTCGATGCAAGAAAATGAAAATTCGCGAAGTCTGGTTTCTAGACATCTTAATTCTTTCTTCTTCATCTTACTTAATTAGTAATTTGGCTTATAAAATTTATTTAAAAGGGATAAAAAGCTGTTCTATTCTTAAAGAACTTACTGTGCAAAGTTTTAAATTTTAGTGCAAAAGGGACTACAATGTGTCTTACTGTATTTACTATCTCTTCTCTGTAATACTAGAGAAAATTCATTCACTTTTGTTAAATACAATAATGGATTTTTCAAATATAATATATATATAGTCTATGACTGGAAAGATCATCGTACACTGCTAAGTGGTGCTCTGGACAAGAGCACTGGAGGAGAAAGTGAGAATTTCCTCATTCGAATGGTAGCCAGCATATGGAGAGCATGCAGTGGTATATTAGAATGGTGAGCTTTCAGATGTGCACTTAAGTGTATGGAATAGGTGAAGTCAATGGATGAGCAGCTAAATGAATTTATCGAGAATGCTTTTCAAGACAGACATCTACCACACCACAGTATGTTGCATGTATGCATCAAAATTTGTGTGAGTACAGGTCATTGAAAAGTAGCAAGACTAGTGAGCTCAAGCCACTATCAATATGTTAGGTCATTTTGGAAGAAAGTATGTCAGATGCTGTGGAGACTAATCCCAGTATCAGCATACATGCATTACCTCTGCCTTAAGAATATCTTGTTGCAGTATATAGCGTGTGTTGAACAGAGTCCTTACATGTCTTTCATCTCCAAAGGATTCAGTTACTACTTCTCTGATGATCATCCTAATGACCGCATCATACATATACCCCACATGGCCTCCACATTCAATTGATTTATCAAGCCTTGATTACTTTCTGTTGGGAGCCCACAAAGTTATTGTGTATCACGATTCTGTGGAGTCTAAAATGGATCTTATGGCAAAACTCATCTGCACTGCTGTTACAATCAAAGAAATTCCTGGTGTGTTTGACTGTGTCCGGCAATCAGCGTTCCTTTAGTGTCAGGCATGCTTGGTGTCTGATGGTGCAAACTTTGAGCATCTGGTTGTAATATCAGAGCTGTATTAATCTCGTATACCATTTGTACTCATTTTGTCCAATAAATGTTTCAAATTAATCACTGTTTTGTGTCCTTTCCAATCTTCTACTTTTGTAGCCATATACCCCTAAGTTTCTGGTCATGAATTGCTATGCAATTCTCAATACTTATGATGTGTGCATATAAGCAGATATATTAACCTGTTTCCCTTTGTTTTAATATATTTCAGTAGCAGCTTATTAAAAAATGTATCTTGAATGTAATGAGAATGTTTTGAAAATTAGACATTGAAATTTTTTTCATTTATTTTAAAATTTCTATTAAAGGTGTTCAGCTTCTGTTTTGTAATTCTTGTTTTAAAAAATTGCTTTAAGTTAATTTTATTTCATTGAAATCAAGTATCATCTATATTTAACGTCTACATTTGAAATCAAAATTAAAAGTTTTGCTTCAGTGGTATTCCCAGAAAGGGGAAATGACTGTATTTCGTTCTATGAAGTAAATGAAAAATTTGTTACAGTAATACTGAGTAATATATTTATGCAACAATTCCATACAGTATCTAAATTTCATATTTTGCAAGGAACATTTATCATTTATTCCATTTTTATAGATGGGAGACTTTTTAAAGAACAAGATACAAAGGAGACCAGATAGGCAAGAATTGATTCAGCAACATATATTAGAAGGTATGTGTATGTTTTTCATGTTCTCCCTTATTTAAAGGCATAGTATATGCAGTTAGGTATGTATATATACCAAGTGATGGAATTTTTTTTATCTGAAATTGCAAGGAAAAGGATAATTGCCACTTAACCTTTTGGAATGGACATCTTAATCACTGAATTGTTCTTTTGAGATGGTATGCTAACAAAATGCACTCTCTTATTGGGAAGCCTAACTTGAAAAACAAAGTTCGCTTAAATTAAATTTGTGGCCAAATTGTTTCAGTTTTTGGGACCTTATGAGAGGAACACTCAGGTAGTTGTAAAACTGAACTGAAGAACTTTATCATTATATTTTCCTTGCTATTTGAAGTATGAAAAATGTTTTTCTAAATGATACACAAAATATCCCCCTCAAAGCTAGAACTCGAAGTGGAATGAATAAAACCTCTAAAGCAATACCCCATATATCCCCTTATCACCAAAAGGAAATAAAAAAAAGTGTTCAGAAGCATCAAGAACATTTCTATGTGTTTACATCAGCTCAGGCATTTAATCCACAGTTCTGTTTATTTACAGAGTACAATTTCTGCTTTGCTTCTAAAAATAAAATAAAAAATACTGTTCTGGAATGAAGGTTAGTATTCTCTATTCTAAATAAATTCCATCATAACAGACATAAGGCTACATCTAGCTTTAAAAAAAAAAAAAAAAAAAAAAAAAAAAAATCCTAATTAAATGTTCTATCTAAAAATTCTTAAGGGGTATACCTGACAGTGTTTTACATAACAAATTGGTGATTCATATATTACATACCCGGCTGTAAGATACAGTTGGCAGCTGATGCCACACTCATTCCAAAAAGTTACCCTTTTTGGCAAAATTTATTAAAATATTAAAATTATTAAAATTAGCAAAATTTATTAAAATATTAAATAATATAAAAAATTATTCCTCATTAAACGTAACACAAAAGATTAAAGAAAATTAAATTATAAATATATATATATATATTATTAGATTATAAAAATTATTACAACTTTTTATAATTTTTTATATTTATTTATTTTTATTATGATCTATGAGAAATAAAAAATTTTTTGTAAAATATTAATATATGTGTGTAAACTTAAATAATTTAAGTAAAAGTAAAATAAAGTTCAAAAAACAAAATGCAAATTATATATTGAAAGCTGCATTAATTCAGTGGTAATGAGTATTGAAATCAAAACATTATCTAAACAAACTGAAATACCATATTTAGTTTGAAATAATGATATGGCACAGCTTTGTTTGTTTTTTACAATGCTAGTTTGAATAAGTAATTTTACTATTTTGTGTCATATCATTATTCCAAATTAAATATTAATCTCAGCTGTCGTTTATTGTTTTGAGATGATTCAAAGAGATACTGCAGAATGTACTTGAAATGCATTACAAATTTTAAATGCATGCAACATCCAGTTTAAACTATGTACAGATACATGCACAGCATGTGTAAGATTATTTCTGGTATTTATAACCCAACATGACTTGAACTTCACTTGAAAGGTTGATTATTTGAAAGTTTGATCATGTGAACGGTTGATCTGTCGTGGATCAAATATTTTGTACTATTTCATCTAAGTATTTAGAATTACAAAAGTAGTACAGATTAGTATGGTTCTAGAAATCAGTGTCCAGATCATGAAAATACTATATTCTCTCTCTCTCTAAAATGTTAGACTGATTGCATTTGTTTCAATTTCTTTGCAGATCATATGTAATTTGAGTCAAACTGTAGAATAAAGCTGGAATCTGTGAACTCTTCTTCTTTTTTTCAAAAGAGCTATTGATTAGTTTTTATGATAGTGCTATACATTCTTATGTCAACATGATTAACTGTTAAACATTGTTAGTGGATCTGTAATCAGTCATCTGCTTAGAACATTCCAGATCTATTCAATGAGATTTAGAATATTAATGAATTGCAGTATTATGATATTACTTTTAAAAATTAACTCAAGGCCAGCTGCATTTTGATACAGAGGCAGGTAGGATTATCTCACTACAGTAACATGCACTGTTTACACTTCAGATATCTGCAATGTTGTACGATCATCTAGTATAACACTTCTTCTGATGAGGAAAACTTTAAGTACCATACCAGTGTCTTTCAAGCTCCTTGATATAGTATCATACTGCCATACTAGCTGACATCCAGAATCACCGTAGAGGCTGAATCTGTTCTTATTTATAAAAAAGGTCCTTACCCATTATGTGTTATTTAGTCTTTGTGTTCTTTGCTTCTTTGTAAGATGTGACAGGTATGACAGATGCTAAAGAGACATAATGTTCAAAAAGTCTAATTTTATGGAATCATCTGGTTATGGTAAATTATTATATTTGACTTGCTGTGCTTCTGTATATCTGGATAATATAATTGCTTCTGTGGTCTGTTTGCTTGTCTCTGTTAGCTTGTAAGAATATAAAGTGATTGTATTTGTGCATTGTTTGTGTGCAACCAATTGTTTGTTAGCTTGTAAGGGTATAAAGTGATCGTATTTGGGCATTGTTGTTCCTGTAGAACCAATGTTAGTCCTTTGAACAGCTGTCATTTTAAATGCTAGCCATGCTGAAAAAATGATTGTAGGGATAGTATCAAACCCATCGAGTGCATTCTTCGTATTTTACTGATCTTCTAAGCTTTGAAATTATTTTGTTATGAGTGAAGTCATTTAAAAATGTTTACTTTAGACCATTTCATTGTATGTAGAATACTAGATTGAAAGTCCCTAAATTGTACTGTCCCTGAGTGGTAGTGTTCATTGTTTGGAAATTTGAGATTTGCTTTTAACCCTTTGAGGTTCTGTTCAGGAAGAGCTGTATTATCACATCATTTATGATGTGATATCTAAAATTACCCATTTTACTCTGTTTTAATAATCTTTCATCATCAAAATGATATGTAAATCATTAAAGAAAGTATTGGAGCAAAATATTTTATAATAAGGTGAGCATGAAATGGTAGAAAATCCCACAGATGGATTAAAACAATATGCTGCCCAGAGAATTCACATTTAGGGGCAAATTCTTGAACATCTCCTATCATCATTTATGTGCAGTGATTTAGTCTTTGTCATCACATAATTCTGTTCATGATAATTATACAGTAGTGTATGGTTAAAGCTCTCCAGTTATTTAAGTTGTTAATGTGGTTTTAATGTTGTAACCTCCAAGAGCAGTGCTGCTGTTCTGTATATTAACCCTCTGACTGCTCAGTTTGTAGACCAAAATCGCCTCCAATTTTTTTTCCCATATTTTAAATCTATATATATATTGGAGAATTGAAAAATGCACTTTTTCTTTCTAGAAAATATTTTTTATGTAGATTTTTATCATGAGAAACTAAGTTGCCAGAAAAACCAATTTCGGATGTTATCACCAAAAACTATTTTTTAAAATAAATTTCAGTCAAATTATAATTAATTTCTATTTATTGTGTAATATAAAAAAGTAAAATGTATAAAATTTAAGAAAATATAAAGCGCTGAGGGAAAAATACCTTAGAAATGCAGTTTATTATGATAGACTTCAAAACAGGTTCAAGGCAAAGTCCAATTTCACAGTCTTTGCACCAAATCCAATAAATTTAATTAATAATAAATCTAATTATTAATATAATCAATAAATGTAATTAATAATTCAATAATTTAATTAAATAATGAAGATAATCGCTGATCGTTTTCTAGCAGCCATTTCTGTAAGGAAAAATGCAGCAAAAAGTGAAGTTTGAGCGCTAATACCATGTGCCTTCAAATGCCACAATTTAGTGGACAATTAACAATATCTGTTGGCCAAAACGTAAACTAAACGCCTAATACTGTATATAATTTATTTCAATGGTAAAATGGGGAAAAAACGGGATGCGCTCCTCAATAACGGAAGGAAAACATATGCCTGCGGAAATCGCGGGATGAGCAAATTTTGCTACATTTGAATTGCCTGTGGAAATCGCAGGATGATCAAATTTTGCTAAATTTGAGTTTCCCGTGGAAATCGTGGGATGATCAGCCAGAGGGTTAAGCATGTTTAGCTTTCTTGCCCTGCATTAAACCATCCATGTTCTTTCAGTAACCTCTTCGTCGTCCGTAACGCATCTAGTGCCTTCAAGTAAACCTTCTGCAGGGCGGCTGTAACGTGCCTCAAGAGTTCTTCTACATTTTAAAATTTTTAAACGTTTAAAACGCTTTCTAAATGTTTACTTGTTTGAGTTTTTATTTTTGTTTGTTCTAATACTTCCTAGAGGGTAGCACTAATCAGGCATTCTATTTCTAATTGAATTTCTCCCATTTCTTATGAATATTCGCACCATTTTACTTAAGATGCAAGACAGTGAGAGATGACTTCAACGTCTTCAACGTCAACGATGACTCAGCAGAAAAAAAGAAAAAATGAGGTTGTGAATTGAAAAGACAAGAAGGATATACGTTTGATGAGCACAGTCCATAATAACTCGATGATTGATGTTGGAACATGGAAAAGAACTGTAAAAAAAAACCAATAATTATAAAAGATTACAACAACAAAATGGGAGGAGTGGACTGCCTGGATCAGATGTTATCAGATTATCCTGCTGTTAGAAATAAGCAGAGATATTATAATTTTTCCATTATGCTTTATTTCCTTATAATTTTACTTAATATTCATTGACATTCATCCACTACGAAAGTCATGTATGGAAAGTTATGCTGTACGGAGAAAACAACATTACATGCTATGAAAAACAGACAGCCGCTGGGGGAAATTTTCGCGGACAGAAGAGGACGTCGAAAGGGTTAATCTGATAAAATGTTCTTCCCACTTGATATAATCAGTAGTATCTCTACACAGAGTTTGAAAGCTCATTAAATGCTTGTTAGAACATAAAGTATTACAAAGGTGCAATTGATTTTATCTTAGTATATGAATGGTCATATTTGATTTAAAATATTTTTTAAAATTTAAGCTTTATTTATTAATGTGCATTTTCATTTATTTTCTGACATTTTTATTTTATTTCAATTTAGATTTACGAATACACATATTAATTGATTGTATTGCATTTTATGCCATTGCAATGTTACATATATATTATTTTTAATTCGTAAAACATTTTTTAATAATTTTATCTAAAATCTTTTTGAACATTTAAGTAATATTTATTTCCAAAATTGTAGACTTTAAATGTTTAAATGTTTGATGTTTTTTCAGATACAACAATTGATCCCAGTTTGCAAGATAAACAGAGACAACTGAAAAAGGCTCGTTTAGCAGATGATCTCAATGATAGGTTGTCACATCGACCTGGGCCTTTAGAATTAGTTAAAGGGAATATTTTGCATACTGATGAGAAATTCGCTCAAGCTGTTAAAGGTATAATTCAATTTTCTTCATGTATTGATGAATGAAGTATTTATTATTTTTCTTGTGTCTTTATCGATTTTACTCCTTAGATATAGTTTAAGTTAAAGAAGTTAGAATAAATTCTTTCAGAAACTGAAAGAAACCATTATATGTTACATATGTGAAATTACTGTGCATGCTGATATAAGTTACTCATTTATAAAATACTTAAAGTAATCACATGTTGGAGTATAAAGTATGGAATTCTTTCTTTAGAAAGAAGGCTTATAAATATTTTCAATGAGGGATGCACATTTTCTATCTTTATCAGTTTTTAAATTAACAAAAGAAGCATTATTATTGTGAAAAAGTTAATGATTTAATAATAAAGAATAAAGAATTTGAAGTAGTTGTTTATTTTGGTGATTAATCATCTTACCATTCTTTTGGTGATAATATCTTTCAAAACGTTCTATAATCATGACCAAATTATACAATGATTAAGTTAAGATTTTGTATCATACATCACAAATTAGTTTTAAATTTAAGACAAAATGAAATGTGAGTGGTATTGTAAATTATATTATTAAGGATTAATAATTTGTGTATTGTTGTTATCCTTTTTGGTATTTATTGAAATTGCATAAAAGTGAGCTTATTTGTAGATTTTTATATTCTGTATATGCTTTCTATTTCCAATGGGTTGCTTAGTATGAAAAAAACACATGTTAATAAATGCAATAAGCCCTTGCTGAATGCAGACTTATGGAACGCAAATTTGCATTTATGCATTTTCTTGTCTCTATTTAATTTGCCCCACTTAAGAATTTCAATTATATGTTTTACAATGTAGAGTGTCAGCCATATTGCAGTAGTCGTCCTCTTTAATGACAAGTTTGAAAACTCATTCATTAAAAAAATGTAAAAAGCCAAACTTTAGCTTTAAAGTTCTACTAATTCTTGATAATCCTTTAGGACATGGTACTGAAACCCTCACAGTATTGCATACAAATATAGATGTTTTATTCATTTCCCGAAGATCACTTCCTTAACCATTGGATCAAGGAATCATAAAAGCATTCAAAGCCTAATATGCCGAGCATGTTTACAACTCTGCAAATAAAAAATACGAGATGAGAGAAAGCATTACACACTAATGGCATTTTGGAAGAAATTCAACATAAGCCACTGCATAGAAATGATTAAAGAAGCACTGCATAGAAGAAAGAACAACAAACTTTATAAGAGGTATTTAAAAACTTTGCATTCCCTACGACAAAACATTTAATGCATCAGACATTGTCCCAAGGAAAAATCATCAGCTATTTAAAGAAAGTAATTATATTGTTAGAGTCATTAGATTATTTTGAAGCAGGAGAAATGAAAAAATAGCAATATCCTCGCCTGGACTCGAACCTGGATTTATCGAATACATGGCCATTGTTACTCTGTGAAAGCATGCAGAAAAAGAGGGAGAAAATACCTTATATACTTCTCCAGCTTTTAAAGGGGGATTAGGGACCCAATCACCAAATCCTGGTGATGACGATTTATTGTCCGCCACCTTTTTCAATTCAAGCATCACTGGGACTCGAACCTGGACCTCTCGAATAGACGCCAAATGTGCTACCATTAACATCATGAAGGCATGCAAGAAAAAGGGGAGAAAATACCTTATAATATCATATACCTACTTTTTCAGCAATGATAGAGATTCTTCAGGTAACGTTTGTTTCATTTTCCCTTTTAATTACAATAATATTTAGATTTTATAAATTATACATACTTTCTTAATTTGAACTATACCTAATTTGCTTTTTTCCATAGAAAGTTTATGGTGCAAAAAGCTATTTTGCCTTGCGCATAATGTGTTGTTGATGTAACCCCTGTGTTCAGCAAAAGTTTATTCTAATTACATAGATTGCTTAGTAAATACTAAATAAAATATTAATTCACCTGTAAGGGATTGATGACTTCTTGTCCATACCTTTTATTTAATGCTGTATCCTTTTCCTCTCACCTCCAGAAATCGGGGGGGGGGGGATTAGCTTTATCAGATGAGTAAGGAAGAGCAGTATTAATTTTAGTTATAATAAACAATATTTACAGAGGGGCAGATCCCATTCAAAAGAACTTGTGAAGGACAAGCACTTAGACATCCTTTACCTAGTTTTGCTGTAGAAGATGACAGTGGTAGTGATGTTGCTTTGTCTCCACCTCAAGATGTATTGGACCAGTCACTCAGCAGGTGGTAACTTTATTTGTATCATTTTCTTTGCTTAAATTTTTTTTAACTTTGCATGAATTAAATTATTTTATTACTAAAACATCTTGATTAATTTTCTGTTTGTTTGATGTAACTGGCATATGTATTATATCGTATGTCATATTATGCATCATAAGCATCTTTCATATTTAAGAGCCATTCTAAATAGACTAAAAAAGTGTCGTGTATATTTTTATAACAGATATTTTAAATTTCAATGTAATTTCCTATCGATTCTTGTTTCCACTTACAGCTCCCTACCAGAATGAGTTTTTAGAATCGCTTTGAATGCAAATGAGTTAGAAGTAGTATTTAGGAAGGGTTCAACTTACCTCACCAGAGAAAGCTAGGAATCCTAAGTAGTACATGTTTGCCTTCAGGCTAATAAGTTTCTCTAGAAAGTGTTACGCTTGGCCATATATTACGTGCCTTTTGATATACGCACGCTAGTTTAAATTAAGGGCTAACTATGTTAGATCTTGTGTTTAAATTCAGCCAAGTCTCTCTTAGTCAATTATAGTTTAGCTCTTATTTTGAGTTCAAGCCCGAATGGGGGCTTTATTGTGAGCCCAAGAAAGGGGCCAACTGTTCATCTTATTTTGAGTGAAATAAAATGTAGTTAACCCTTCTCGAGTCTACGTCTTAGTTGTTTGAACTCAGTGATAAGTCACTAACAAGTTCACTAGGTTCCTCAACATTTACTTTAGCAGAATAAGAGTAAGGAACTCTACAAAAAGTTCTTTTAAATTTTCTACTGCATCCCCCCTCAGATGTCAGTATTTTATTGTTCTTTTGGAATTTTAACTGATGTTATCATTCTAAGTCTGTATAAGAAAGATTTTATATTTTCATGTGATAAAATTTATCTAAATGTTTTATGCAGATGAGAAAATCTTAAAGTTTATGAATATAACATGATGATACTTGCATATATTCTAAATGATTATTTTTGACAAACAAAAATTGTCACCAGACAATGTAATAATGAATGAGCAACACAACACACTCATAAGTTCTTTGCCTTGGTTTTAAGTAACCTTAGAAATCTTAAGTAGTTTAGTTTTTGTAAAGAAGGATGCAGGTTAACTGTTGTTTACCTCCTTTTCTGTCATACTTTAAAAAAAGTGATATAAATCTATGAGCTACATTATATCGAACAGTATGTAGTAGAGAATTTTTAAAGTTGGAAGATTTTGACATCAAAGGAAGTGTGCGTTGATGGGATTTATATGGGAATATGTATAAAAATGGATAAACCTAACAATGTATTGTGAAACACGCGAAAAACAAATACCCATTCAACAAGGAATACAGTTGGAAAACAACAAAATTACATTTGTAGCTGCATTCAGATTTAGTTATAGTTTGTACCTTTTGATTATCTGACTTGATGAAGAGGATCTGTCAATCCTGTCATTAATCCTGGAATGATTGATGTAAGTTTGGAGGAATCTTTGCCAGCTTTCCTAGTCAGTGGAAAGTGTACAAATATCCATATGACCTGATGTATTTTGTTTCCTCCATCCTGAATTATTTCATTTTAAAACTTACATAGTAGAACAGTAGAGGCATCAAGATTTTAAAGAGTGTAGCAATGGCAATGCACTCAAAAGCATGAAATATATTAATTCTTCTTTTATTACATGTTAAATAATTATATAAAATTCTTACTAAAATAACTATTTTTTCAGTAATCTATTTGCTGATGATCTCATTTTTGCAGTATTGAATATAAAAGTAGAATTCTTGATATATATATTATAATATAAACATATGTGCAGTGGCATTTTTCTTTCAAATTCTTTTAAAAGAATGTGTATAATATTATGTATGTGGCTGGATTAAAAAAAATATATAGTTAACGATTTATATTGTTATCTAGCATGCCATCTGTTGACTCAATGGTTTTATCCCCATATCAAAACCAAGACTCTCCTACTAATAGTACTGGTGAGTTAAGAATTGCTACAACTACACCACCCAGCTCATTGCCCTCACCTGCATCTAGTCAATCTGGTAGTGTTGGTCAGCCTGAAACCACACACAAGGAGAATGTAACAACTGTGCGAAGTAGAAAGAAATCAAAGCCAAAAGCGCAACCCAAAACCCGGACTATAAAATTTCATGAATATAAGGTATGTTTTATTTTTTTCACATGGTCTACCTTTTCGAAGTTACTTATTCTGTATCACAACTGCAGAATCTTTTAATATTTATCTCAGTTTAGATAATCCAACAAGATATAAAACATATTGTTACATTAACCATAGAAAACATAATGCATTAAATTTTGCTAATGGCAGACAGAAAGGATTTCATATTTTCTTGAAATAATCTCAAAATCAAATTCAAGAGTAACAGCAGTCCCCATTCATTTTGGGGAAGGAGGGGTGTGGTTAAGGAGAGGCAGTTCATGTGGATAATTAAATATTTTAATGAGGAAAACTAAACTTTTGGTATAGAAATTAACAGTTAAACCTTGGGTAATCTTGATCATTTTTGTGTTAAAAAAAAATCTTGAACATGAAAGTTCACATGTGATGATGATTATTCGTTTGTGACATGATGACTTTAAAGCCTTACTGGCCTAGAAGGGCTTAACTACTTAATACAATAAAGAATTATGACATTTCCAACAAGCATACTGCTGTTGGCTAGTAGTTAGTACATCCAGCTAGCAGTTGGAAAATCTATGATACCCGTCAAAGATGTGGTTGATTATATATATATATTTTATTCTGAGAACAAATTTTAATATGCATAAGGTAAAACTTCAAACTATAAAAAATGAAAAGAAAAATAGCCACTTCAGTTGATTTAGGGCAGAAAAGTTTGTAGTGAAAAAAAAAAAATAATTTACCTGACATCATTCTATGAAAATTTAAGTAAGTTTTTCATCTTCACATGGGCCTTCATTGATATTAACTTCATATTTAATGATTGGACTGCATTAATCTTCTGTGCATAAATACCAGCTTGTAGCAAGATTTTTTTATTGCTTGATGGGCAAAAATCTCCCATTCTGTTGATTATGCTTCATAAAACAGCAATGATTTGTCTTAATCTTATTTCAAAACTTAATATTACCATTCACATTAAATTGAATGCTGCATGTTAAACGAAATCTTGATCATTTTAAGGTTATCTTTCTTTTATCATCATTAAAATATAACAGATTCTGTTTTTCAGTTCTTAAATTCAAGACAAAGAAATTGTGAATTCATTTTAATAACAAACCAATGTGCACAAATAGTACTATTGTAATTGACATATTTCATTGAATTAGTTAATTTATTTGAAATAAAAGCCTTTTTAAATAATTGAAAAAATGACATGTTGATTAAAATACTCATAAAGGAGTAGTTTTGATGGTATATATCAAATTTATGGAACTTAATTTAAATTTACAAATTATGACATGAGTGCTTTATGATTATGTATAGTGATATTTCCTGAGAACAGTAAATATGGAAGCAGTATTTGTTCATATAAATGGGGTGAACTAGCATTTTAACTGTACAAATAGCAAAATTGAAATATACAATGATGGGCAAAGAAACTGCATCATCTAAAAGAATAAACATTTTGTAAAGTTGATGCATTATTTTGTTCAAGCAAAATTATCTTGGTTGCTGCAAAGTAAGATATGTAAGCTACATTTATCTTGCATCATACAGTGTACATCCTAAGTGTTGTGTCATCCAATTTTTATCTATAAATAGATGCAGCAAATGGGGTAACTCATCACTTTCTTTCTGCATTTTTTACTTTTTTGAGTAGTTAATTGTAAATAATTCATTAATCCTAATAAAACTTGATTAAGCTTAATCATATAACTTTATTTTATTGTAGCAATGTGATCTTTAAATAAAACATATGCATGAAACATATTATTTGCACTATTTTCTCCTTTTTCACATGTGATGCAGTTTTTTGTTCTCCATTGTATAGTTATCCAACCCAGATTGTAAATAGCAATTAAATTAGTATATTCTACAGCTGTGAGTTTGATAACATAGCTGAATAAGCAATATTTGTATAGTACAATTTGTTTATTGTGAATAAAGCACTCATGTCAGAAAAGCAGTTACTACAGAACTGCTTTTCTGCTTTTCAGAGAATTTCCGTAAGCAACCGACAATTCTTAATATTTTGTAAATCTCAAAATCTGCTCTTAAATTCCTTGTATAAGGGGGCTAAATAACTTGGAAGCATTATATAGTTTTCTGGAGATATTTGAATATTATCTTGTATAGCTTTCTGTGTAGTTGGAAAATTATGTAGTGTTTGCTTCTGTATTTTCTCATAATAAATACTTATTTTCCCTTGAGAAGCAAATGCTTTGTGGGCTTTTTTGCATATTTCATTTCTCTTCTTAATGTAACAATTGTTATTAGTAAATTTTAATTTCAACTGAAAAGACTTACTTTGATTTAAAATAATTGTATTTTTAAATTCATTTTTTTGCTAATCTGGCTTTAAAAAACGAATTGATTTTATTGAATTATATTAGAAATTAAGAGCCTTCATGTCATTTACATTGTTTGATAATACAAGTAGAAAACTGCACATATTTTTTCATAGATTTAAATCATTTCAACTGTAATGATTAGTTTATGCAAATATAATGTACTGTGTATGTAAATACTTTATATGTTTTTTAGGGTCCACCAAGTGCACAAAAAAACCAAACTTCACCAACCAAAACTGAAACATCTTACGAACTTTTACTTCAGCAGCAGCAACTATTCTTGCAGTGGCAGTTGGAATGGCAGCAAAAATATCCTCAAATGATTCTTCCTGTTACGCATGTAAGATCTGTTTAAATAATATTTTCTGTAATTTTTTTTGAAAAGTAAGAAACTCATTCATGGAATCATAATTATCAGTTGTGAAAATATTTGCTATGAAATTAGTTTTGAAACTCATTATTAATGCAATATTTTATTTCAAAAAAATCAAATTCATCAGATGTTTTTAGGAAAGTCAATATGATTATGTTTGTAGAACACTTGATTATTAAGTAATTGCTTATTTTCTTCTTTTCGTCATATGGGAATATTTATTAGTACTTTTCTTATAATTTAGTGTGTGATAAAAATATGCAGGTAATTCAAGTACTTAAAAAGAGGAGAATAAAGCAAAATTAAATAAAAAGTGTTACCTTCAATATTTATGCAAAATATTTGCAATATCCATTTTAAATTAATCTCTGTTAAGAGTAGAAAAAACAGATAATTATAATTTAGTATATGCCTTCAAAAGAAGGCTGTTATAAGAGGAAGGCTGTTATAATTGTAATCATATGCAGAAAAAAAGTATCTTAAGCTTTGTGAAGTTAACTAACAGTAAGGAATTTCTTAAAATTTTTCTCATTTATGAGATATTATTTCCTTCCATACTTATTTTTTTATTATTATTCTTTCAGGTAGCATACATATATACTTGCTATTATTACATGGCCACACTATAAAATAATAATATAACTTTAATGTATCCAAATGTTTATTTAAAATTTGTGATTTTTGTCACAGGAACAAAACATTATTATTTTTGACAAATAAGGTTTATAATTGCTCCATGCTACTCTTAATGTGTCATCAAGGTGAGAATCAGTGAGTTGATTTCTATGTAAGCTCATCACATATTTCGTTTTAGAATAAGATGATTCACAAAGATCTGTTGATTTGAAAAACAGGAGCAACTTTGTGCCACTTTTGTACATTCTTGTAATTTTTGGTGCAATAACTTTCAAAATTCACCGTGCTTCTCCTTCTGTCTCTCTTTTTCTTTAAAATAATCTCCAAGTGTATATTGATTTAAAGCTCAATGAGTTTGTCAAATTATGTTCCATAATTGTATTTCAGTGCAGCTAGTTCTGTAGTAACTACTTTTCTACTTTTCAGAGAATTTTTGTAAGCAACAGATAATTCTTACTATTTTGTAAATCTTGAAATCTGCCCTTAAATTCCTTGTATAAGGGGGCTAAATAACTTAAAAGCATTATATGGAGATATTTGAATATCATCTCATATAGCTTTCTATGTAGTTGGAAAATTATGCAGTGTTTGCTTCTATATTTCCTCGTAATAAATACTTAGTTTCTCTTAAGAAGCAAATGCTTTGTTGGCTATTTGTGAAATAATCTTATTTTCACCCTTAAATTAAGCTTGAGAATGTAACATAGTTATGTGATGTTGCCTAGAAAAGTTAAAGAGATACTATCACCCATTATTTATAATTTTGCTATAGACTTTATTGTTTTCTTGTAAAAATAAAACTAATTCTTGGCATAAAGAAAAAAGACTAACTCAGAACTTTTCCTTACCATCACACTGAGGTTTGCAAAAGAACTTAACTGTAAATGTTAACTTAATTAACTGTAAATGTTACATTTTTCCAATAAGTTTTTTAATTTTTTATAGTGCACCTTCTGATGAATGGATAAAATTCAATAAATTTATTGTATTACAATAATTTTTATTTATTTTATTTGAACACCATGATACTGCTGATATATCACCTAGAAGAAAGGCTAAGCTAAAATATGTACAACTTTCAAAATTCTTTTCAGTCTTTTATGACGTGATAGAAAAAGTGTTTGCTGTACGTTTTATGTGTTTTAATGCAGACAGAATCTGAGAGCTTCATATTTTTAATTTGAAGAGTTATTTGATTTTCATTACTAAATTCATAAAATAGTACATTTGAAGTGTTGATGAAGCATTCTTTCACAATTCTTACATCTCCATTGGTTTGTAAGAATTTTTCTCCGTGTTTCTGCAGTAGTAAATGGTTTCATAAGTTTGTCAATTATGGAACAAATTTTATAATGCTCTTGTCACTGCTATAGCTTCTGAAATTCGCACTGATATTTTATTCTATTGTTTTTAGGACTTTTTTTTTTCAAGTTAATTTTTCCCTCTGTAAGTGGTTTCTGATTCATAATATAATAAGGATCAATGTTATATGTTGTTCACTTTCATGACAAAACTTAACAAGCTCTTGAATCTTGTTCATTTTTTACAATAAAATATTTGTATTCCTGCTTGTCTTGAAATAATTTGTTTACATCAGATATTTTTTTGTTTTGTTCCAATTGTCTATAATAAAATTTTAATAAATATGTGCCTGAAATTAAAATAATAAATCAAAACTAGTATGCATGGCTATAACTGTAACTAAATGCATGTATGCATGCAATTGCAGTTTGCAGAATACATGTACACACAGTTTGTGCATGTGTATTGAGTAAATCTTGTAGTTTTTAAGTTGTAGAAATTAACTTGGGTTGTGCATATATGATAGTGTATCCATGATAAAGTTTTTGAGAGGGGCTGGTATTTTAATAACTGTTACCATTGCTGTCACAAAATTAACAAGACATGTAAAACTTGAATTTTAATGTGCATTTAAGAAGTTTAAAATTTTCCTGCCATATACGGGATCCCCCAATCTTTGTTTGTAAAAAATGTAAATAAATTTTTTATTGAATCACATATGTAAGCTCGCCAGGGTCACATGCACTCAGAGAGCCATAGGTTGAATATGGATAGTTGTACCTGTAAAATTTCATATTTAGCAGAGTAGCAATTATTAAAAAATATCTTAACTTTTTTAATTTTTAAAATATCTCATTATATGCACAAAAAAAAAAAAAAAGAAGTTATGATAGATTTAATTCTGTTCTAAGTTTTAATTTAATCTTTTAAGAGAGAACCATTTTTTTTTTTATCAGATTTGATTTCTAAGAACTGACATCTTGGAAATTAAATCACACTGGTAATGTGAGAAAAGACTTCATTTAGATTCTGGTTGCTGAAGCAGATGAGTTGTTTGCTAAATAAATCTCCATCTTATTGCATTTTCATAATAGTTTAGCATGTGAATCAGGATTACAATATTGTTTTTATTTATGATTAGCATTTGAATGGTTACAATAAAAGAACATGAATATTTTTTGTAACTAAACCTAATTCTGTAAAACAAGAATTAATTTGCCTTTAAATGTGAACTAATTAAATCAGCAGCAGAAAAAAATAGTCAGAACTGCCGTAAATACCTTAAACTCTCATAAAATATTGAAAATGTGCTTTTTCTCCTTTATAGCAACCTTCTGGTGGGGACCAAACAAAATCAGTGAATACTGGACAAAATTCTTCTATGGACCAGTGTCAGGAAATGCCACACTCACCATCCCAAAATAACATTTCCAAGTTTGAAGATTTAAAAGGTAACGATGATAAAAATGAGAAAAATGTTTATGTACATGAATTATTAAGCCATTTATGTTCCTTGTTTATTTCATAGTTTATATATGTATATTTCTGTAGGTCATTTCTGTATTTGTATTGTAATCTAACATAACTGTATTATTTAAGTATGTGGTTATGGAATAGATATTTTTTATAATTTGCAAGTTTGTGATAGATTAATAATTTGTCGTTTATAACTTGCAGCAGTGAATTATTAACAATAAATGTATTATATATGATTTGCACTTAAACATTACCTGCTGCATCATATTCAGCTATATTCCTGCTTTTGATTTTAGGTAGATCTTGAGATGAATTTTGTTTATATGAAAACTGTTTACTTTTAATTAATTAGATTAATTTAAAGCCCTGCTATAATAATATTTTCTAACAGAAGCATCATCAGTCTTTTTAAGTTTTATAAGCTTACTTAAACAGATTCTGAAAAGGGGTAACAACAAATTAAAATCCTATCATATTTTTGGAAATTTTGGCCAAAGCTTTAACTATATTTAAATTCAAATGGCAAAAAGCTCGTGTGAAATAAATTGTACTTTACTTTTGTTTCTGTTTGTTAAGTATAGAAGTTTAATAATCTGTCAGGTTCGCTAATTTGATAATGCTGAATTATTAAATATGCTATGTTATTGAATTTTTTAAGATTATAAAGTAAATTTATGTATGTATGTATCTATATATATATATATATATATATACTATATGTGTGTATATAAATGTAATTTAACATTTTGTAAGAATGAAAGTCTTTAAATGAAGCTATCTATAGATAACTGTACAGATGCTATAACTCTACAAGTTGAAAAACCTAATGAAGAGTACACTAAAGACTATGCATAATATTTTCTTCCTTGTGATAAATTTCTTTCTTCCTATTGATAAATTTGTTATTTATTTGTGATATTTGTGTTGCATAAAGACTCGGAAGTCAAATATCTACATTTGTCGGGAATTTGTTTATTTGACAAAATTGATAAAAATAAACAAGTCTTCAATATATTATCATAGTTGGATGTTTGATCACAAGTTTGGCATTTAGTTCACCAGAAATTATCCATAATGGTTCTCCATGTGGTGAAATGAATTTCCAAGCACAGCTTTTCACGTTCACAAAAAGTTATCTTCCTTATAATTTGTAACATCAATGTCACAATTAGTGGCATAGCTAGGGTGGGGCAAGGGGGGACATCTGTCCCTGGGCGCAGCATCCAAGGGGCGCCAAATTTATCTTACGAAATTTTTAATGAAATGTTTTCCATTCTTGACACACAAAAAGAGGCGCAAATTCTTCAGTTGTTCCTGGGTGCTGAATCTCTAGCTTCGCCCCTGGTTACAGTCTAATCCTTTCTAATGCTTTCAAAATTTTTTATATCTCAGTTCTTCACCTTTTTTTCATTGCTTTGCCCAGTAGATGGTGGTGTCTTCATGTTTACTTTAATTCCACTCATTATTTTCAGTATAGAAATGAGCATCACTCCTTTTTTTTTTTTTTTTTTTTTTCACCTGAAAAAGAGGAGTCTGTGTGTCAGCCTCAAAATCATTAGTTTTAAAAACCTTTGCCAAAATTTTCTTTCTTGCCAGTAGAGTTTTCCATAACTGGTTTTCTTGTGCCTTCTTAGTCATTAGCACAGTTTGTTTTTTGAAAGTGTGATTAGAGACTTATTCAGAGGCGTACTTTGTATTGAGTTCAGTGCTTTAAGGTGGTCAGTTATAGATCTGTCAATAGTTTTGTATTTTTTTACTTCATAACATATACTGTATACTACAGAATTTTTTACTACATAACATTTAGCTGTAATTATGATGGGTCTGAAGCGAATGTCAAACTCTATTGATCACTTCCAAAGGGTTATGCTCTTAGCCTCATATCAGGTATACAGAGGCTGTGAAATATTTTACCTAAAACTTTTGTGCTTTGAATGATCTATTTGGTAACCCTTGCATTTCACTATCTTGCATTTCCTAGGCAATAAATTCTTTTGTAATATCAGAAGAGGTATTTTATCCCATTCCTCTTGGATAGCTTTCCAAAATCCAAGGAAGGCTTTAGGTTGATGTTTGGACAATCCAGTTTTTAAAAGTCCAAAATTGCAGAAATCCATGGGAGATACATCAGGAGATTTAGTAGGGATATGAGTGAAGGGTTATGGCCTTGATATCTGTTTCTTATTTTTCCTGGGAAATTAACAGTGCATTTTGACGTGTGGTTCCTTGCTTTGTCTTGATGCAATTCTACTGATTAATGGGACTGTGAGTAAAGAGAATGTATTTTGTATTTGTAAACTGGCTATAAAATATATTCCTGATAATATGTGAAGTTGATCTTAACATTTTTATTCACACTCGTTATTCTTAATTTGCCACTATACGCAAAAAACCAGCTACAATCATATACCCCTTTGAAAAACTTTCTTTAGATTCTTTGAACCATGTTTGTAAGTTTTTTTCCCTTCTCTTTGATGATTAGTAATGGAGCTCTTATTATTGCAGTCATTTAAATACACCCAAGATTTATCTGTTGTGACAACACTTTTTCATTTTTGTTCACATAAATGTTCCTCATAAAGAATTCTGTGTTTTTAGCAGTACGATATTTGTTTTTTCACCTTTTTAAGATTCAAATCAGCATTAATCACTTTGTTTATACTTGACACTGAACATTTTATTAATTTTGCAACTATCCTTTAACTTAACTTTTTTTTTTTTTTTCTTTTTTGACATTAAAGATGTTATCTTTGCAACATTCTGTTTTTTCCTTGGGCACATATTTAGGACAATGTTTCCATTTGAACCCAAACTTTTTCATTTTTTCCTTTCTTTCCACGGCTTTTAAATAACTAGATAAAAAGTATTTTTCCCAGAAAGAGCACAAACTTACCTTCTTTAAAAGTGCCATTGCCATCCATTGCTCCTTTAAAAATGCCATTTTGCATGGAAACAAAACTGTCAAATAGCAGACGATAATTTATACTTTCAAAAATGTAGTTACAATTAAAAAAAATTTCAAGATGACTATTTCTTTTATAGCAAAGCAAAATCGTCTAAAAAATGTGTGTACACTCATTGCATTATTAAAACTTTTTGTATACTTGAATTTATTTGGTTCGATTTATTAAGTGATTAATGTGTATTCTGTGCAGTTTTCAATTTCATTCATGCTTAATAATTTCTGCAATATTTTATTTTAGTGAATGATCTGAAAGCTGAGTTGAAGAGGAGAAACCTCCCTGTATCTGGTTCAAAACCTCAGTTAATTGAACGTTTAAAAAATCATTTAGAGTCAAACAGTGGCAATAAATCAATTCCTGAAAAATGTGCTAATGTTGAAACAACTACAGTTCCTATTAGTGTGAGCGGGATAATTCTCGATACCCTTCCCACACTTATTGCACCGCAAGAAGCTGTCACTTCTGTTGTTACTGTTGAAGCTCCACTAAATAATGCAGCATCTCAGCTTACAATGGGAGAAGATGCAGCATTAATGGTATATAATACTATGCCTGTGCAAGGACAGATAGTAACCTCTCGACCATCTTCTGCTGCTCCAATGGATATTGAACTTAATTCAAATTCAGAGGCAATGGATTGTTCAGATAATGCCAGCACTATAAATGAAAATATTGTGAAAATGCAACAGAAGAAAATTGAGGAGTTACAACGAGAATTGCAAAGGTTATTTTTTTCCTCTTTTTTTAATTTCTTATATACTTGCTTAATGCCTTTATTATTTTAAAATTTATTTTAATGGAACAGAATTTTGATTAAAATAAATTTTAAAGTAATAAAGGAATACAGAACAAAATATCAGAATATCTTTATTTTCACAATCATTTCTCATAGACATATACTTCTATTGACAGAAATGCTTTCATTAAGGAAAATTCTCATGTTTATTGCCTTTTTAAATTAAAAAAATCAATTTTATAAAATTACAAAATCTAATCTTTTTTATAGTCCTCTAGTTTTTATAGTTGTATTTAGTAAGTGTTTATATTCATTCTAAAGTATAAAAGTAAGACATTTAACTCCTATATGACAAAAGTTAACTGAGATATTTAATTTTAAATTATATTTAGGCGTCTTGCACAAATCGAAAAATGAAATATTTAATTTTATATGCATCTGAAAGTGAAATATCACTTTAGATTTCTGATGCTAATATATTAAATGACAAGCACACAAATGATGATAATAGATTAAATGGCTGATAAGCGGACTCTCATGAAAAGATGTGCTCAGTGCAAATTTTTTCAAAAAGGTGATCTTATTCACAGAATCTTATTGAGTTCATGTTCTGAGGAACAGCAGCTAACTGTTCCTCAGTATTGGTACATAGCCAGTTCATAACACTATTTGCATAACTTTATAATTCTAGTTCATTTTTCTTTAAATGACTAGTATGTTATGATCTTATCTTGAATGATAATGTTGTGATCTAAATGATTAGTATGTTAGATCTTATGACCTTAAAGTAACAAATTGTTTGTGAATATTAGTAAACAAATTGTTTATGTATATTAGTAACATATTTTGAGTATTTAAAAAGTGAAAATTTTTTCAGCATACCAAATGTTACAAAATAGTAAACTGAAGAATATTAAACGGTAATAAAATGTGAAAGAATATTATTGAATGACATTACAAAGGAAAAAAAAAATTCTCAAATTATTCTAATTTATTTTTTGAATGACCCCTCAAGAGAATCAAAAAAGATAAAGAAAAGCCAACAAATTCTCCAAATTTTGGACCATCAGTTTTTATGATGCAAATTCAAACTTTTTGTTTTATTTTTTAGAACAAATATAAACATTTACTAAATATAACTATAAGGATTGGAAGACCACACAAAAAGTTAAATTTCATTTTTTTTTTAAATTTAAAAATGCCAAACCATGAATATATACATAATTTCTTCCCCCTCTTTTTTTTAAAAAAAAAAAAAATCTTTAATAAACTGAAAATATACTTCTGTTATCAATAGTTGCAAAAATAAAGTCCACATGAAAATTTTTGTGGGCATATATGTAATTTCATCTCATGTTCCACTGTTTCTTGAATGGATATATTTGTGTAATGCAACTTTTAAATGGATGTTTAGGTCTCAGATGCAGTTGCAGCAACAACAGTGGCTTCAACAACAACAACAGGCACAACAGCAAGCCCAGCAGCAGGTTCTGCGGGCATCACAACCTGTTCCTATTGCTCCAGCTCCTCCTTCCAATCTTGCATCAACTTCTTCTGTGGCTACAACTTTACCTTATGCTTCATCTGTAGACACTATAGCTTTGCAAAAACTGCATCAACATTTGCAGCAGAAAATCCAACAGCAACAGCTGCTGCAGCAACTACAACAACAAAGCAGTAAGTGAATCTAAATCATAATAAAATTTACTGTAAAAAATGTGTTAGTTAAAGTAAATTTATTAATAGAATATATTAAAAATATAAGCTGCAATATCTGATATTTTTTTTTTTTTTTTCTTTTTAATTCTGTGTATATGTGTGTCTGATCTTTCCCGTAAGAGCTGAAATGTGGTCAAAATTCTTATTCTCTTTGTGATAGATGTCCATACTGTTTTGTACATACTACTAGTATGATTAATAAATTGTATTCATTTTGGAATACAGAAATGCTAATGTGAGAGAAAATTGCAATTATTTCTGTTTTTATACATAGTTCCAGATGGTGTATATAATGGTATAACTTTTTAAAGGTATTTCATTGCTGTTTTTTTTCCTTCCCATACAGATTGTTAGCACCAAAATTGAACAGATTTTTTTTTAAATGAAATGCGGTATGTGAGGCATAATGAGGTAATGAAATTCAGTATGCGAGATATTTATATTTTTAATGAATTCAGTATATTCAGTCTGAATTTTTAATGAAATTCAGTTGTGTAATAATTTACCTCACTTGTGTCTGACCTTATCAGAACATGTCCACAAATTTTATTATGGCAAGAAGTGCAAGACTGCATATGTCATTGACATGGGCCTCAACCACTCTATAGCCACAGTGACTTTGCCCAGCTGCACCTCAGTTTTGATGGAGAACACCCCATCGGACATATCTGAGGAACTCCCACCCCTCTTTCCTTACCACTGAAGAGACCTTTTGGCTTGCTGTGTATTTTGAGAGCCTCCATGTCATTATACATTTACAAACATTCATGCTTTCTCCATGATTTGAACCCAGTGAAAAATACAGCAGCCAGGAGCACTAACCACAACAGTACAAAGTTCAATATACGGATTTCCAATATCTGGAATGATCTAGTATCCAGACCATCATTCCAAAAGTTATATAAAATAAAGTAATTAAAAAAAAATCTGACCCATTCCAGTCTAGAAATGGAGAATATAGTAACAAAAGGAAGCAAATATGATGAAAGTGGGATTTTTCTGTGGACTAATTGGGATTCTCACATATCACTTTAAACACTTGCTGGCTAGTTAATTCACAATGTGACCGATAACATTGTATTGATGTTGGACTGGATTGCACTTTTGGCCTTTGACTGGTTGTGCATGTGTGTGCTGGGAAGGGAAAGCAGGGCTGACACTAAATATTTTGCCACATTGTGCAATCTGTGCAGATCCTAGATTTGCTTCCCAGTGCCTCTCCTAAACTCTAAAAGTTCTGCCATCCTAATTCTTGCTGCGTTGTGCTTCTTGAAATTCTAAAATTTTTGTCATCCCTATGTTTTAATCCTTATGTTTATGAATGTTTGTAAAATCTGTTATCTGCTTGTATCTGAACTGGCTTTTCAGAAAAGATCTGTTTGTATTCAAGCCATTAAAAGGTAACTATAAAATTTACTTTTGATGGGGAGTAACTTGAAAAATCACAACTCAAGTGCCACTAACCAGTCTGTCATCGAGCATTATTTGATAGCTGCATTTGAAGCAGATTCTGATGAAATATGCCTGGTATGGGCATTAAAGCTCAATATGAAAAACAAATTATGTAATTGCATTCATGTAATTTTGCGAATGTATTCAAACTCAGCAGACAGATATGTTGTAAAGTGCGCTCTGATGAGAAATAGCATCAATTAAATGTTTACTTAACGGTTTTTTTTTCTTGCAAAATGAAACTGTTTTATTTATTTGATTATTGGTGATTAAAAGTGGATTTTGTGCAGAGTACAAATGAATCTCTTTATTAATTGCCATCCACTCATTCATTATTGTCATATATCTATGCACCCAATGTATGCAAGCCTAAGATGATTCTGGATTTTATGTCTGAAAATGTTTTTCACCCCTATGAACTTTTATTGCTATCTAAAGATTATTAAAGCAGATAGTCTTCCCAATTACAACTAATTCCTAATTTCTTTTGATTAACAGTCACCGTGGAGACCATCGTACAGCCTACGCTAATGCACTTCAAAGATTTGTGTAAGTGCCATATATTGCACACAGGAAATGTGCAGCATGTGCTAGTGAACCGAAAAATATTGTAGCTATTCAATGATTCAAGCTCTTATGGTGCAACCTTTTATGCCCTTTATATTTTTCTGACTTTAAATCTTTCAGATTATAATATATTTTTATAACAAACACATTGTTTAAATTGAGGATTCAAAAATTAGTCTGGGAAAGGTATCGAAGGTATTTTCCAGAGATAATGATATTTAAGAAATGTCATTAATAAACTTGTCTTCCTTTTAACAAATGTTACTGCGTGTTATAGAATTACTGTTTTGATGAGTAAATTAGCCTTTGTGCGCATTTTTAAAATTTTGTATTATAAAAACTGGAATTTATTTTTATCTTCTTGTAATTTATAATATATTTAAATTGTGACATTTTATTATCCTAGAATCAGAAAATGCCTTTAAATGTTATATACGTACTGTTGCAGGCATACGGGTTTGTATTGGGTAGAATAACGCGAAACCAATGATAGCTTCATAAAATGTATTTTATCAAAAAATAATAAATAAATAAATAAATAAATAAAACACTTCATATCTCTGGAACCTTAAACAAAAGTACTCATACAGCTCTTTTCAGTGTCACAGAGTACAATCAGTAATTACACTTCAAATTACTAAGTGTTAAACTCAGTGCAATGCAAAGCACATCTAAAAATGCGAAGCTGCCACGGAGATCTCTCAATACTTCAAATTCATGCTAAATTAAACAACTGATAAACTGATGCTCTTTCTAGTCTTATTTTTTTCCTGGCTGCCAAGAAATCTCTGATGTCTTCCACTTCTTGAAATTACTGGAAGGCGTATGAGGGCTGGATATGGTTATAGTTATGCATAAGGATCAATTACAGTTATTCAATGCCAATTACAGTCACATAGGGACTGGACCCAAATAGTCACCAAATTTGGCAATTTCTGCCGATTTTTCGCCAAAAAATCGGCAGAATTCGCCAAATTTGGCGACAGAAACAAAACTATCACCACCTTGTCTATATCTCACCAGTTTAGAGATATAGCCATTTACCTCAGTGCTAGATTTCTCCTTATAAATGTTAGATTCCTCCTCCTTATTTTTCTGGTAGAGCTTTGTCTCTTTCGAGCATTGCCTGTTACATTACAGAAAACATGCCATCTCCTTAAAATTATTTAAAAATTCGTTACAATATGTTGTATAAATGTGTTATGCATACATGTTGTATAATGTGTTGCATACGTATGCTCTGTAAATAATTTCACTTACTACTGGTGTTACATTTTTGTTGCAAACAAATTAGAAATCATATTTTAGCAACTATTATCTGTAATTTATTCATATTTCTTTTCTTTCTCAGATGGTAGTGGGAAGTTTGCACCTGGCTCTCCTGCTATGTCTAAAGCTGTTAAGGCAAATCTAGCAGCATTTATTCACAACCAACAAGCAAATTCTGTTCGTCTGCCAAATGGGATAACATCAATATCTCAACAAAATATGCCATCTTATTCTGGCCTAAAACCTATTGTGTTGTGTCCAGCTCAAACATTACCTGCTGCGGTTGAAAAGCCACGAGCTAATTCATTGCCCAATGGGTTAGGGCAACAGAAACTAGTTTGGTATGCAAATTCTTGTTAAAGTAACTAAATATAGATCTCAAAATTAATGTATTTTGTTATTAAACAAGCTATAGTATAGATTTATGTGAAATTTCTGCTTTAATTTGGTGGACACATTGTTCCTGCTGTAAGTTCTATATTGAAAACTCAGCTTTCCAGAGATGCTTGAAAATTTCAATAATAATTTTAAATACTTGGAGATGTTTGTAGATAATTGTCCTCCCTCCCCCCCAAAAAAAGAGAGAACTGAATACTTCCTTCCTCCCCTACCTATACAAGGTTTCGAAGTGGACTAAATATTACTATTTTGTAGTGAATAATGTTTTAATTTTTAACTATTTATTTTTAGGGAAAAAAATCTTGCGTAATAATAACAATCATGATATACAGATTTGTTTGATAACTATAAATATTCAGATATTTTAATTTGTGTGTACTTGGAGAAGCTTAAAGTTTGTATTTTTTATTAAAATTGATTTTAAAATTATATATTTGTAAGTATTAAATGAGGTTCATTCATTTTTTAAACAGCTTTTTTCATACTGACAAGATAATTTGGCTTTTTGGGGGAAGAGATTTTATATATATAATTAATTAAAGAATTAATGGCACACTTTTTTTACATAAGGACATCATCTGTTCCAAACTTTTCTAATGTGATATCATCGAAACCAGTCCAGGGGGAAGCAAATGAACAGAAATACATAGTGAAAAAATCTCCAGCTGATTACAGTGAAACTGTAAAGCCAGTGACAAAAATAAAACAGGTGAGTATACAATAAAAGTGAAGGTTAGGATAAATTAAATGTTTGCATAAAGAGTCTTAATAAGTATTATTTCATTTAATAAATGTAGGAAAAGTCTCAGTCATCTTCAGGTAAAAGAAGTGGAAGAAAATCTGTTAAAAGCCAAGCAGTGGATGATGTTTTAGAGATACTGATTAAAAATGGAGGTAATCGTTTCTTTCTCTCTCTCTCTCTCTTTTTTTTTTTTTTTTTTTTCCCCATAGACTACTAAATTTTTTTGCTTTCGTTTTTTTTATTCAAGGTTTCATATAGTATGCAGTCAAACTCCTATAGTGAACCTAGTTTATGACATATACCTAGATATAATTGTGGAATTTTTTGGTTGTGTCCAAATGCTGAATCATATTTTTAACTTTTATCTCTTTTCATAAAAACAAAAATTTTGTGCTAAAAAAGTATTAATATAAATCTTTGGTAAAAAAATCAGATGTGAACACCACAGGACTTTCTTGTGCAGCCTAATGAATTATACATATTTTTGGTTGCACTTCATTTAAACTTATTTCTTCATATATTTCACATTAAATCAATTCATTTTTCACTTTGGGGCAAGCTAAAAATATCTAAGAACTCGAAACATCTTCATTAAAAATTGTAAAATACATAAAAACCTAAAACCTCAAGTACAATTAAGAAAATGGAATTATAGTTGGGATTTCTGCACAAAAAATAAGGAATTCGGAAAATGGATAGGAAGACAAAATCTTCGGTGCAAATGTAAAGTTAGCTTCTGGTCCCATTGGGGAAAAAATACATCAAATATGATGCACCAAATGACTTAATTCGCCATACAGTACAAAGTCCAAAATCCGGACTTGTCGGGACTTCGGCGATTCCAGATTTAGGATTTTTCCAGATAAATAATGTAGTAAGATGTAATACATTAATAAGATTTTTTAAATTTAGTAAGATGGCATGTAAAAATTATAAAATTGAAAATATGAAATCGCAGTTACATCTACAATTTCTGCTTTGCTTTCAAAACAAACTATCAAAAATAAAAAATACTGCCCTGGAATGCAAGTCAGTATTCTCTATTCTAAATAAATTCCATCATAAGAGATATAAGGCTACATCTACTTTAAAAAAAAATCCTAACTAAATGCTCTATCTAAAAATTCTTAAAGGGTATACCTGACAGTGCTTTTAATTGGCGATTCATATACAGTACAAAGTCCGAAATCTGGACTCGTCAAGACTTCGCTGATTCCGAATTTGGAATTTTTCCGGATATTCAGTTTAAATCTAGTAAGATGGCATGTAGAAATTATAAAATTAAAAATATGAAATTGTGTTTTTATGAAATAATGAAGTATTTATGATCTAAAGGGTATCAAAATTTACACACACACACACACAAAAAAAAAAAAAAAAAAAAAAAAAAAAACTTAATATTTATTTGTTTACCTTATTAATCATTTCTTTCAATGTAAGTGATTTTAAGTTGCTTTTTTTTTTGCTAATACTTTCTCTTTAATTCTGTAGACTGACATAATCTCTTGTTTAGTTGCATTGTTGAAGTCATCTGCTGTTTCGAGAATTTCAACTAACTTGTCAATCGAAATTTTCTCGTTTTCAGTAAATTCTCTGTCACTTTCTTCATTATCGGTAGCGGTATTTTCTGGATCTAGAACCATACTACAGATTCGCGATTCATAATTTAAAAAACGTTTTGTATATCATCTTCATTTATTACTACTTCTCCACATTTCTTTACAAAATCTGTTAATGGGAAAATTTCACCTTTGTTTTGCGATATCTGAAAACCTTCAAAATTAACGGCTATCATCATCAAATTTAGCTATCCTTCTTTATACATATTTGGCTATGCGTCATGAACTTGGCAACTACCGACAAGTTGTTCCGTTAAATTTTATCTTGTTCTATCGTGCATGGAGACAATTAAGCCTGATTAAAGTTTAGTTATTCATTATACTTATGTCTATTTCTTCTACATGCCTAAGGCTTATCAGAGTTCTGAATAAATAAATTCCCACATATACTTTTAAGCCTTATTGAGGGCTAGCGCTAGATATCTTACCGCCTAATGCAGTCTATGTGGGTCCAAAATTCTGAGATTAGCTGCAGCCATATGAGCTCTGGCGCTGGTTCTGGGTGAATAATAAATCAGTTATTCTTAATTCAGATATCCCTAAATGTAATCTTTGAGTCAATGGGTATTATCAACAAAATCTATTTTTAGCATATGGAAAGAAATTTTTGGTAAATTTTTCGTCAAAATTTTTTAGCACATTTAATTTAAATCTGTAATCATCACCAAGTGATAAAAACTTTCATCGTCAACATGAAAGGTTACCATACTCCTTTATTGTTCATAAAAAAATAACATAAAAAAATGTTTAGGCACCGCCACATCAAGTTGTTGTGTTTTGATAAACATGCGGTGATGAAAGTAAAGTATAATAAATTATTATTTGCCAGGGGGGTGGCGTCAGGTCAACCATGTATCTACTATGTGGAATGTTTCCGTTTGAGATATGTGCCAAAGCACATACGCAGCAACAGAGCCAAATTACTGGTGGTACAAATTTATGCTAAAATGATTGTTTCTTCAATAACAAGCTATTTTATGTAGTGTCGAAGTGAAATTAAGAATCGCGACTCTCCAGATGTTTTATTATGCACAGAGGAGCAAATCAAATGTGCATGCATAAAGCCTAAGAGAAAAACTTGGTTGGTGATTTTGAGGTCCAGATTTTAGATCATTCTGAGTAATGGACGTCCAGATTTCGGACTTTGTACTGTACTACTAAGAGTTTCTAATGTAAACAAATAGCTGCCACATTTGGCCTACGGCCGGTTTTAAATTTTTGATTTATAAGTTGTATTACATGCAATTAAACCTAGGGCAGTTTTAACTAACTGGCCTAAGGCCAGTTTTAAATTGTTGATTAATAAGTTCTATCGCATTCATTAATAAGTTCTATCTGCATGCAACTATTGCATGCAGATAAACTAAAATCATAAAAACCTTAACCGGAACATACGAACAACATAATTCTATCACTTTTAAAGGTGGGGCATAATTTACCAACATACAAGAATAAAAACAGAACTCAACAAGCTGGGTAAGAGGGTGGATATATATGTTTGGTGCATCCGATTGCAACAAAAAAGAGAGGTGCACAATTACATGTTATAGCAGTCCCATATCCAAAATGTCAACATTCTATGTGTAATCATTTTTGAGTTGTGCAAGATACATGCATATGCATGTACAAATGTCGCCAAAAATTCCTTCTGAATTAATTTTCAATCCATTTTACAACCCATTTTTTTTCGGGGGGGGGGGAACATTTAATTACATGTTTATGTTAATATTGATTATATTTTTCAATTCACATTTCAGAATTCTGAAATATTTTATAGGTTTAAAATTCATTAAAAAGGTAAATTTTTAATTGATTTGCATACCACATATTAAATTTCTTTAAAATTTTTATAATATTGATGTTTCATAGAATGAGTTGTAATTGGTTATTATTTAGCTGTGCTATTGTGTTTAAATAATTTTAACACACCAGTAGTTACTGAAATTTTCTGCAATTTCAAACAATTAAATCAAATTTCAATTGAAATAAATGCTTAAGACTAAGGATTGCTTTATGTTTTAATTTTCTATCTTTGTAGATTTATATTTTATATTCCATGTTAAGTAATTAAAAACAAAACAAAAATGTATGTTCTAAGATTTTTATATATTTTTCATTAGTTATATTGTAAAACCAATATATTGTAAGGGAAAAAACATTTTATTCCCCCCCCCTTATTTATATAAATGACATCAATCTTCTTTTATGGATGGTTATTAATAACTTTAGACTTTTCTTGTGAGTATAGCATATTTGAATATTTGGTAATGCCACAATCCATGATTAGATTAAAACATGGGTAATGGATACTTTAGCTAAGAGAAAAATTTCATAAAGCTTTTATCATCCTCAGTGTTAAGAATTTCTTTTTTGCAGGAATAGACATTATAAGCTCAGTTAATTGATGAATAAAACTCAAATTATTCACCATTTTAGATCACCACTACAGAAATATTTTTAAATTTAATTTTGCAGAATGGAATTATATTTCAAGCAGATAGATAAGACTATCAAAAAGCTTGTGTACAAGAACTATGCATTTATAAAAGGCATTTAAATATTATGAAAATTCCTGTAAAATCTAATAAAGGGTTTGTGTTTTGTTTTAATTTGTATTTTTTAATTTATACCCATTCTTGTTCGTTTGTTCTGGACGAGTATTGCCGTGATATCACACCGAAGCGCAAGGTTTCCGGCTCAATAAGTTTATTGCTTAACGTAGATAAATCTGGCTCATAAATAGGAGGCTCATAAAATGGCAAGAGGAGGGGGGTGACCATATGTCACAAGGCAAGTGAGAGCAAGCAATCAATAAAGCAATGGAAAGGCTTGACAGCATGGAGTAAATCATAACTTAAATTACATAAAATAGATACGTTCGGAGTACATACAAAACACAAAATAAAGTACAATACAAGTAGTGCATATATTCAGGTAAACATAAAATAATACATCTAAAGTAAAACATGTGAAAATCGCACTTTATGTACAGAAAATATACAAAACAAAAATTTGAAATAAGCTGAGTTGGGAAGTTAGAATCGCGGGTGAGGAAAGTCGTGTACGGACGTTAAGTGTTATCCTGTTCAAGAACTTCATAATTAAAAACTTGAAAATTATTGAAGTGGTGACAGTTGATTGCACGGTCAAAGAAGTTAGCATTATCTTATGCAGAAATTTTTCAACAAACACTTTCTAACTTTAGATCCTAACTTTCTTTCTCTATGTAAGGTGTCATTTCTTACATAAAAGTGGGCGTTGGTAATTGTACAGAGAAACTTATTCTGTGTAATTTGCAGTTGTGTTATGTCCTTTTTTGAGGTAGTTGACCAGACCGGCGAGGCATGAGAAAAGGTGGGCCTTATCATAGCCATGTAGATATGCCTTTTCTTATTTAGGTCAAGCTTTGAGTAATTACCAAGTAGGGAATTTAGACTGCTACTAACAGCCACAGCCTTTCTTTTAATATTCTTGATGTGATCAGACGGCGAAAGCCATATCGTCAGCATAACAGCCTAAAAAGTGCGATTTAGGTAAGTAAGAAACATAAAAGAGATAGATTACGGGCCCTAAAATAGAACCCTGGGGGAACTGCGGCCCTGATATGCTTCTTGTCTGGAGAATCATTTCCGATATTACCCATTCTGTAGATTAAATGGGAATGTGAAACTTTTTAAATTTTTTTGCATTTGCTTCATTTACCTCTAAAACAGAAATTTTATAACTTATGCTCTAGAAAAATGTTGAATAAAAATTGTATGAAATGTTAGAAGAAAATTACATGAATTAATTGGCTATAATTTTGAATAACAGAATCCTCTCTGGAAATATTCTTTGCTTTGCAAATGAACTATAAAAATTATATTAAATTTATACTTATTTATATAAATTATATTTATAGATTATTGTATTTGTTTCTGTTGTGTGATGTGCTTAATAAATTAATTTGAAGGTTTGAGATGGGTAATTGCTTTTTATTCCTTCCTTTTTGATCTTTATACAGTTTTTTAAATGTTTTTCCGTCATTACTAAAAACTACATAAAAGAGAAAGTAATTTGGACTTAGTAGTACTGCAGAAACATCAAATAAATAAAGAAATAAAATAAAAATATATCATATGTGAAATACTCATTTTTCTTATATGTTTATAATATTCTTTATTTAAATTTAAGTCAATGTGAAATTCATACCATTTATAATCATGTAATTTAATGAATTCTTATTCATAAAATGTGAATATTAATTTGCATAATTTCCTTTAGAATTACCACCAAGTGCTGCACAAGAACCTCCAACTCCCACTACTCCAGAAACGCAGAAAACAGGATGTCCTTCAGTGCCCCCTGTTTTTCCAAATGTTGAAGATATGAAACCCATTTTACCAGATTCAAAGAGACTGGAAATCCAAGAGCAACAGGAAGTGAGTTCTCAACCTCAGCCTTCAACTGTTTACCAACAATCAGAAGGTACACAGAATCCAACACTTGAATTTGATTTGCACATGGAATTGCAAGACATAACAATGGATCCAATGGATTTAGGTGTGTTAGATCGTAATGATGCAACTGATTGTACAGCTCAGACATCACAGTTTTCTGATTTATCACAGGAACATCAGCCAAATAACAATTGTCCATTAAATGGTGAAATAGACATGGATGTTGAACTTCCAGATTGGTTAGAAGCTATAACAAATAACAATTCTAATGTATCTTCTATAAACCAGCTACGAAGTTACAACTATAATAGTGATCCTTTATTACCAAGCATGGGAAGTAACCAAGAAACTTTAGATATGTTTTCATTGGATGACATTGATTTTAAAACTCCATCAGATACAAATATATTAAGTTGGGATAAAGTGGATTATGCAACATAAAGTATCTCTGATAAATATGATTTATACAAACTGATAAATTTATCAGGAATTGTGAAAGATCAAACATTGTTTACACTCAATTGCTCATTGGATTCAGTTTAAAGAAATAATAAAAGCCTGTGAATTTCATGAGCAAATTTTGTGAAAATGAATCACGTTTTGCACCCTTTCTTCAAGATATTTAAAAAAAAGAGTAGAATTAGTATAATGCAGATGCATGCTAATTATTGCTCAAAATTTCGTGTTTGTGAAATGCAGTGTTACATCATACGTGTGAAGTTTCTTCTACTCGTATAATGGGTGCCAAACATACTGTATTTAATTTTTCATTCCATCAAATGCAAGGATCATAAAATGGCAATTGTTTGAAAACAAACAGTTTGTAAAAATTTTTAATTCCTTAATCATTTTAACAAACTTTAATGAGTTGAAATGATACAGTTATGCATTGTTTCAAATGCATCCACTTCATAAAAATTGTACATTTGAAAATACTTGTTTTGGTGCTGAAGAGAATATTTCTCCATTGTTTACCTTTCATGTTGTTATTTGTATCATTCACTTCTTTTGTTATGGAAAGTTCACAAATTAAACGCCTTTTTATCATATATAGTTGGCCTGCTGGCTCGAGACCAACAGCTACGTTATTAATGTGGCAGGCGTACCATTCCCTCATTTAAATCAGTCTTGAAGAATCAAGATTTAAAATGAATTTTTTATGTCATAAAAATGTTTAAAGGGAAAACTAATTGCAAATGATTGCATTTAGTTATTTAGTGATTTTTTTCCCCTGTTGTATATTTACTTTGAATATGATGTGATTAATCATACAAGCTTAAGCTTCTCTTAAACTTGAATTGCTCTCTGTTATGTTCCTTTATAATTCCTAGTTATGAAGGTGTTTTGGATATTACATAAATGTTTATATTTTTTCAGTTATTGGAGGGGCAGTATCTTTTATTTGAAAAATTTTATTAATATTTTTATATGCATAATGTTTTAATAGCTTTGGTTTCCAATATTTTTTTTTTATTATTTAGGAGGTTGTACCAACAGACCGAAATTTAAAAATTAGCCTTCTTAAAAATTCAAGATGTTAAAAATTTTGATTTGATATTTTAAAAAGAATGAAACTAGATTAAATTTATATACAGATAAAATTTATCAGTGATCTTATCTATCTACAGTTGTGATTCCATTTGGAAATAGTGCCTATACTTGAAAAATGTGTTAAATGATAAAAAATATTAAGAATTTTTGTCCAAAATACTGAACTCTATATTAAGTCATGTTGTCTTCTCCTATTTTACTCATTATTTGCTTTATCCTAAATAATTAATCCTGCTTGCTGTTTTATCATTTTGATTAGAACTAACATGTGTCAATAGTATATTTAACTAATTTAGAATGTGTTTCTTGGAAAGTGTTTGCAGCTAGCTTATTTAAGCATAATCATCATCTCTTTTTAACTAAGCTGCTGCATTCTTTACAAAGTATACTGATTCTCCCAAACTATTTTCATTTGACCTCTAGATTTAAGGAATTGTTGCCAAGTATTGAAACATAATTTCTTTTTAATTTTATTTCAGATGTCCTCTTTTATAATGAAAAATAAGAGGATAGTGATTTTTTAGAATGTCATCATTTTTATGACTTAAATAGAATAGCTTATTAATAGTGTATTCTTAATTTATGTATGTCTTCAAATAGGTAAAAAGCTACCCATTATAATCTATTCAAATTTCTAGATATATCCAGCTGTGGTAGCTGGTGTCCTGTTCAATCTTTTTAAGTTCATTGCTCACACTGTGGTGCCTTAGGCTTAAAGAAACTGCTTTGTTTCATGATGTGAAACTAAATGGCAGGTGTCTGTGATTTTTTTGCCAGGAAACTTGGAAGCTTTCAATGATAGAAAATTCCATTGCCAATTTAATTATCTTTACAATGAGTAATAAAACCCAATACTGGTAAATATTCTGTGGTGCAAGGATTTCAAGAAAGAAATAACTCGTCACTAATTTTTTGTAAGCTAATTAGTTTATGTATTAATAAAATAAACAAACTATGCATAATCTGATGTGTAAAAAGTTTTGCTTTTTGAAACTGATGATTTTATGCTTCAACTTTTCCGATATGAGAAAAAAAATCAAATATGAAACCTTTTTTTTTAGTTTCATATATTTTTATTATTTAGACTAGTTTTATACAATAACAAATTATATAATTAACAAGAATATACAGAAATATATTTTCTTCAAATTAAATGGAGAACAAGTATGTAATATATTGAATGTTGAGCAGTTAAATTTAGCATATTAAATATTTTTCACTTTAAAATTCAGTACACTGAAAAAATTTAAGTTGAATTGAGACTACAAAGTATTTAAAAGAACACATATGCAACACAACTGCCTAAAAACAGTAATCCTAAGATTTTGCTGAAAAACTGACATAATGATATGTTATAGTAGGAAGAAATAAAAGTATACAGTTCAGCTATTGGAGACATTTAAGAGCAGTAGGATGTTTAAATTGAAATATGCTTAAAAACTAAATTTCCATAACCAACAATTAAAATACATATAAAATACATATAAAATAGATAATAGGTTATATACATGCAATTCTCAACAATTTGGCACACAGGTATAAATTTTAAATATTCATCTCAATACGAAAAGAAAAAACAAGTATTTTATAAAATGCTGACTTAAAATAAGCTCAATTCAGTTCTTTTTAATGACAACATTTATAAAGGAAAATAAAGGGGGGGGGACATTTCCAGAATGATGTTACACAGTTTTGAAGTCAGCACTAAATATTTAAACCACAATGGAATTTTTGAAATACACTGTTATATTGCTGACCTAGTGTTGTATTCCTAATAATAAAGATTTTAAACTAATAATAAAGATTTTAAACTTAAATTTTCAATCTAAATTTTCATAAGATAATGTTAATTCAAGAGAATGTTAAAAATATTGCGAAAAAGTCATATTTCACAGATATATAGGAAAAAACAGTCTTATGTAAATGTGGAATTTTTATATTGTTCACTAATTATTTTCAGATTTATTCTTTCTTTTCTTAATAAGGAATAACTGATTTATTTAAATATGCCACTTAGTCTAGCATAAATTTCTTAAAGTATGCTAAAAAGGATCAAAACAAGTTGTTCTGACTCGTAGCATGATAGTACAGTACATGATTTTAGTCAGCAATGATAAAGATTAAAGTTTTTAATATACACACTATCAATATTTTAACAGATTACCAACCTTTGAGAAAATAAACATTGGGAGGGAGAGAACCGTGCTAGATGTGAATATCACTTATGCAATATAACAGCTTAACAAATGACAATAACTGTGTGGATTAAAAATCACTTTGGATGCAGTAAATTAACACTTTTTGGCTCATGAGATTATTAAAAGGATGATAATTTTGTGCGGTATAATAGTAAACAAATGGAGAAATTCCGTGAACAGTAACAATTCGATAAAACATGATCAAATTGCAGAATTTCAATGAAACTGCAATTAGCAATGGATTTGATGTTTATTTGTACTAATTTTAGGTTGACTTGTTTTCTAGATGAAAACAAAATTGGAGTTAAAATATATATATGTGGATGTGTGAATTTTTAAAACATATCTATCATCACAAAAATTGAATTCTGCTTAATTACTTTCTACAAATGCATATTAAAACACTCTTGTGTACATACATTTTTTGTCATTAAAAATTTCTTAACTGCTTTTCCTAACTTAATTGTATACTGTCACTGAATATTCAAGTTCTATAACCTCATGTACCTATGAGCAGTTATATGTGAAATGGTTATTTTGAATATTTATTTTATTCTTAAATATAATGAGCTATTAATTTTTAGATATAATTAGCTTGTTAATGTATGATGTATGAAATTATATTTATGAAGAAGACTAGTTTCCAAAATTAGATAATAAGTACACATTGAGTTCTTTACATAAAAAAATACTCTTAAATAGACGAAATCTACTGAATAAATAGTTTTTAAAATGAGGCTAACAAAAATTTTAGTTTGTAAATACTTCATTCTTTCTCCCAAACTTTCTTTACTGTAAGTTGCACTGCATGGACTATGTCATCATTGTCATTCTTCTGCATTGTATTCAGAAGATTTCTGGTTTTAATTAGCAAGTTTAATTTTTCTTTCAGTTGCCTGTGGTGTTTCATTGAAGAGACAATAAAAGCCATAGCCTGAAAGCAGATAGTTATAGATCAGCCTTTTGATGCAATAGATTCATCAGCGTAATATATTGCAAAAATACACCAAAAGAATTTGGATGCAATAGCTAAAAAAATTAGGTTCATATTCACAGTAGGATAAAGATTTAAAAAATTTATTTATATTATTATTATTCATGTACATTTCATTAGCAAAAAATATTTAAATTTAGTGAACTGTTCAAAATTTCAAGTGAACTGTCCATTTCTGAAAATTTGGAATACTAATATATGTTAAGTAAGCTGCAGTCAATTTTGAAGAGATACAAATGTATTTACTTACATTACAAAAGTCAAATTTGTATGGCAAATGTACAATTTAAATCAATTCTTGCTCGAGTATTAATGATTAAAATTATGAGGGCTGTGGTCAGATAAACATTTTGTCAAACACATTCAGATAATTTTGGTTAGAATAATTAAAACACATACACACACACACACACACACACACACACACACAAAAAAAAAAAAAAAAAAAAAAAAAAAAAAAAAAAAAAAAAGACTGCAAACTAATCACATAAATATGCTCATTATATTTTTATATTGAATATAATAAGATGCTTGCTACTGGAAATGTCGAAAAATATTTAAAAAATGAGTGCTTTAACTATAGAAATTTGATGGTAACTAATTTCAAAGAAAGCAATCAAAATAAAATAGCATAAAAGTATAAACTAAATAACTGCAACAGTTGGTGCCCGATTTTCACAGATGGCTCATAGATGCTGATTTTTTAAAATTATATTTATAAAGTATTTTCTCCCTCCTTTCCACATGCCTTCAAGATGTAATTGGAAGCATACACGACGTCTGTTCGAGAGGTCCAGGTTTTGAATACCAATGAGGGCACAGCACGTTTTTCACATCTCCAGCTTTAAAAAAAAAACATAATGACTCTACAAGTGGTGCCCAATCTAAAAAAAGTAGTGGGTGATAATTCATCACCGCCGGATTTGGCAATCGGGTCCCATAATCCCCAGTCACCTTTTAAAAAGGAAAGTACACAAGGTATTTTCTCCGTCATTTTTGCATGCCTTTGTGTGCAATAGAAAGCATACTCGACACATATTCGAGAAGTCCAGGGTTTGAGTCCTAGCGAGGGCATTGCACATTTTTCATGTCTTCTGCTTTAAAATAATCTAATGACTGTACGTGTAATTAATTGACAGCTATCGTAATTCATTTTGAGTTCTACATAACCTTAAAAAAGAGTTTATCTTTAGGAGGACTAATATTCAAAATGAAAGATGAAAAGTTACATTTTCATCATATTATATTATATGAGTTAAAAAAAGGAAAGAGTTGGAACTGCAACAAAGAATATTCAAAATGTTTTTCTGGATTGTACTCTAGCTCTTAAGACAGTTAAAAAAATGGTTTAGTCTATTCCAAAATGCTGATTTCAATCTAAACAATAAACTTAGCTCAGAACAACCTACCATCATTGATAATGACTTTATCTGTGATTTGGTGAATAATAATCCACAAATTACAAAATTTCTTTCCTTACCCTCAACAAAAGGAGCCTTTTTTGGATTATGTCTTATTTGAGTAGAGAATGGGTTGTGTATAACAGCATTATATGAAAAAGAAGCTCGAAGCATTGGAGTGAAAGAGCAGAATCTATGGCAAAGGCTGAACTGCAGAAAAATGTTGTGTCTGGTGAGATTGCAGAGGAATACATTTTTACAAACTTCTTCCATGTGAAACAATAACTGCAGAGAAGTTCTGTAAGCAATTATGATTGTTGAAATCCAAACAAAATGTCCAAATTTGCTCAATCAAAAAAACATCATCTTGCATCATGTCAATACTAGACCACATGTCACTTAATACACTGCAGAAACTTAGGAAGTTAAAATTGAATATCATCCAGCACTCACTTTGTTCCACTGACCTTGCCCCCTTCAGATTTTCATCCGTTTTGCTCTCTGCAAATTAACTGAATGGCAAGAAATTTGATTTCATGAAAGAAGTCAAAAACTACTTCAGAAACTTAACAACATAACATCTTTTACTAAAAATGTACAGAATTAGAGTTTTGATGTAATCCTTTTTGCAAAGGAAGTTTTCATTACTAATCCTTTACTGAGCACCAAATGGAAGAGAAACATACTAATATAAAATTTTAAGTTAGACAAAAAAGAAATCTTAATTTGGTATAGATTTTGAATAAAACTCTAAGCAAAACAGATCGTGAAGACAATTCTCAAAGTTCATGACTCAGCCAATGAAAAGAATGGTAAGTTTTATAAGTCTTGTATAGATTTCATTTTGTATATAATTGAGAAATTTACAAAAAAGATAAAAAATATTTTGAATTTTTTCATTTCTGCAAATGAGAATTGGAAAGCCAACTTTCTGTCATACACATCTGTTTCTCAGTAAAAAGTATCTTTTAGAAATTTTCATTTGAAAATTTAAATCAGTAGCTAGCTATCTTCAGGAGTAACTGTGCATAGTTCTAATTAAGATCTTGGGTAATTTTGCTCGTATGAGGATTTTATTTTTATTAATTTAAAATTTTCCTCCTCAATTTTCTTACATTCAATACATATATTTTCTTATTTTCAATATATAAAAATATAAGTTTTGTATATATTTATTGAAAGGCGTCACCTAAGCACAATTGCTAGCTCTGAAGTCTACCTTAATATTCATTTCTCAAATTGGAATAGTTTTCTATGGTCCATCATTCGATCTTCAAAACATCTACATAAATACCTGATACTGAAAAAGCAACCTTTGACATACAGATATATTAGTTAAAATCAAAGTTGTTGTTTAAAGATTCAGCTTGGTATGATAATAGTGTATTTCACAAGATTATTTCTCAAATTAGAGAGTAATATCATTCATGTACATAAATTAATGCGAAACTGTCATTTAAACTCTTCCCCCCAATGATTTTACAAAAACATTAATAAATATTTTCAGAAAAATGACAAGAACCTGCAAATTGTTTTATATGCTGCCAAGACTTTTTTGTGACAATATCCAAAACAAGTTGCATTAAAATCAATAACATTTTAAGTGGTGAGTGAATTGCAGTTATCTTTTTGTATACATCCCACACTACTAATGTATACTGTTCCATACCATTTCAACGGAAATTACACTTTTTCTTTATACATAATACTGCTGTTTTAATTCTAAAATATTAAATTATTTAAATTAAAATTTTTAACAAATGTATTACTTCTTACATTTGATACTGCCTACAAACTGATTATCAATAGGGGCTGAACAGAAATTTAATGCCAATCATTGGCGATTGATTTTTTTGTTCCTTTATTTACAATTTGTAGCTTCTATATGTAATCTGGCATTTTATAGTTAGTAGTAAATTACCTGCTGATGAGTAAAACGAAGAAAAGGAATCCAAAGCCCCTAATTTTTTTTATTATGCATTCCATCTTTAAATCATGAAAATGTTCCAATATTTTAAGAAGAAAATAAAGAAATCAATTATGAAGTATCGAATAAATACTAAATTATCTAAAAACAATGATATTTACCTTCTCCACATTTTGAAATCCACTTCTCGCCAAGTTCTGAAAAAAAAAAAAAGTGTTACAAACATTTACTATCAAGATCATGCACAGATGAAGAATAGCAACAACAAATACTTTCCTTTCTATTTATCTTTTCAATCATCCATTTTTGTGTTAAGTGACTACATATTTTTATACTGTTATGAAATATATTTATATGTTACTAAATAGTTGGTATTTATATTATAATGCAAGTTTTCTCCACTTTATTCTTCTCACAAGGAATCTTATGAAACCTTTTTAAGCCGAAATAGCATGAAGTAGTTTATATTAATATGAAAAAAAGCCTTTGAATATTCTAAAGTCTTTAAAAAAATCAGAAATTTCTTGATTTAATATAAGCATTTCTGCACATTTACAATTTTAATTTTTTTAAATATATAGCAATATCAAAATGCATGATTTAATATAAAAGTTAAAAAAAAACTGAAAGTTTTCAGATTATATATTACACGCAAAGAAGCATGTTTTTTTAACATTTTGTGTGTTACCTTAATTTATTAAATATCATGTTCTTAGCACTTAAACCATATGACTCAGTTTAACAGCAGTATCACAAAATAATTTTAAAAGAGCATATCTTTAGAATTTCTGATGGTACACAGTCTCGCGTGCTGGAGACAAAAAAAGTTTTTTTCCTTACAGTATTGCCACTGTTCGCTTTGACATTTGTTAAAGTTTTACAAAATATGAAACAGATAATAAAACAAATTCCAAATTTGGGCTTCCAGATGCCCAAATTTTTAGTGGGAAGGACTACATTATTCAAAATTTGATGTCTCTAGGTGTCCTTGTTTTTTTCACATATGAGAAAGATACATACATTCATGCAGATTCTTCATGATTTTAATTTCTTTAAATATAATACAAGGCTCTAATATTTGGTGGCAACAATTTGAAAGGGTAAATGCCATTTACAGTAACCCAATGAAAAATTCCTAAAAAAAATTAATAGCCCTTCTGGGCTAATGCCCTTTGGCCTAAAAAAATGATATATTTCTAAAACCCTTAAATAATTAAAAAAAAAAAGAAAGAAAGAAAGAAAGAAAGAATATTATGCTAAATGCACAAATAATTTATATTCAATTAACATAAATATGAGAGTTTCCAAAATTGAAAAAACAGTAAGCATACTGGAAACTAACAATAACACTGTGAGGATAAGTATTTGAATTGTGACAGATTCAGTATTTGGAGATATAGGGCCTATGGTGTTGGAAAATCACCACCAATATGTCTAACATAATTTGTATTTATCAGATCATGCTGTCTAAATTTCTATATCTTCCTGTTCCAATACTGAAACTCAAAGTTTGTTGCACTGTGATAAGCAAAAAAGCATGCTTGACTGCTAAGGCTAATAATTTATTTACAGGATTGCCTTTGAAGGAGTATTTACCAAAATACACTCAGTTCCTTACAGGCAATCTTGAGAAACTTGCCTTAAGCACATGTTATATTATAATTAATCATATTTTTGACAATAAATTTTTTAAAACAAAAGCTGAATCATACTACTCCCTTTTACTGCTGCATGAAAGCTCAAGAAGGCTGGACTGTATGCTAGAAAACCAATGGTTTGTGTACCACTTACTCCAGCTTCCAGAGGAGCTCATTTAAACTGGTGCCATCGTCATGGTCGACGAAGGCAAGATAACTGGGCCTAGAGTATTTTTTAGTGACAAGTCCAGATATAGTCTAAACAGAGATTCTAGATGTGTTTTTATCTGGAGAAAGGAAGGAGCACACAACTTGCCTTCCCTTGTGTTGCAAAATACTCCGTTTTCATGTCCACAGTTTAGTTGTTTGAGAAGGAATCATAACAAATAGCCTCACTGAACTGCATGTCTTTCAAGGAGGTTCTGTACCCATTCAGAGATATGTGGACGAGGAATTGGAACCCCAAGTTAGACTATTTAGGGTTGCTGTTAGCCCCAAGATTTTGCTGATGAATGACAATGCTCGTCCTCATCCAGCACATGTGCTGTCAGAATACTCGCAAACAGAAGATATCACTCGACTAGACTGGTCACCTTATTCACATCACTTGAACTTGAGCATGAGTGGGATGTCTCCACTCCAAATTTCAGCGTACTAAATACCTCTCTGGACCTTCAAGAGCTGAAAAGTGCACTTTTAGAAGAGTCACATGCAATTTCACAAGACTTGATCAACACTTTGGTAAAGTCCACTTTGGTCCACGAACCTACATGATCTCAAAACTCACTCTGCCATTTGTAGAGATGGTAACAAAAGATATACTAGTACAGCAATAATATAACTTTCATCTATTTTGTTATTCATAAAACTGAAAGAAGTAACATAAAGCATTTGTACGTAAAACTTATAGAGTTTTCCTTTGATTTTGTGCATTACTGCTTCCTCTGTGTTAGTTGATTTCAGAAGTAAAGCCATTTCAGATTAGGTAATCATAAATCACCATACAATATACAATGCAATTCTTTTGAATACACAGTATAATCAACTTTTAAGACAAAATATAAATAAATAAAAATGGAGTTTCATTTCTGAAACAAGAAACAGTGGAACTATTAGTGAATGAATCTATGAATGTTAACATCTAAAAAACAAAATTTTTAGTTTTATGAGATAAATAAGTAACAGAAGCTGGGGTATTTTAAATGGTTTACCTACATCTCATATTAAATGAGTAGATTAAGCAATAATTAAATAACATGATGTACATCTGAAACAAAGACACTGCAATTCATAAAAAAATTCTACTGATAAAATAACTGGGAAAATCAAAATCATTAGACATCACTGACTGATTTTCAATTTTGCTGAAATTCAAAATAATAAATTCATATAAGTTTTTCAAATAAAGTACCTAATTAATCACTAACATAGGCCAACCCTTATATAGTTAGACACATGGAACAAATCTGACCAAAATTGCACAGTACACAAATTTAAGTTATAAAATATGTCACAGGAAAAAAAAAAAAAAAAAAAAATGAATTAAATGCAGAAACCAATCAGCAAAATAAGAACTGGAAGAATTATTAATCAAATCAAAATGGAAGGATCTGGAAAACTGAAATCAGAGTGTAACAAATCCATGCTAAAAGATTCATTTAATTTTGATGCTCTTTTCAAAGCTTAAAAATAATTTTCTGAAATTTTAAAAGAAATGAAATGATTGAGGTAATTAAAATTTTAAGTTTTACAAAGAATTTACAGCAAAGTAATGGGACATGTGCTGGAATAAGGCAACTTGAAGTGAAAAAATAAATAAGTGTTTTATTTATGCATTTCATAAATAAAATTAAGTAAAGCATACAGAAGATACAGCATTGAACTTTACCGTGTATATTTGTAAGAAATTTTTGCATATTTCTAAATTACGATTCTTATTACAAATTCTAAATTTACAACAATCAATTCTAAATAGTTTCTTAAAATTCATTACTTCTTTTCACATGTTCTCTCTTTCAAATTTCATCTGAGAGAAAGAAAAAAATGTACAAACCTGGTTCTGTCATTGCAAAAAACGTTTCAGTAACGGATTTTTGATTGTCGCAGGATTCTCTCACAATGGGAAATTAAAACTAAGAACAACAGAAAAAGAATGTTAAAATCAACTCAAGTATGATCAAGAGAAAGTTTAACATTCACTATTTACAAAGTTCATCATGTTCACCTTCAGTTGTATCTTCAGGCACATCATTAAACTCTGTTTCGTCTTCACCATCATTGCTATCTAAATCCATAAATAAAAAAAAATCATCATCCATTCCATATTTCACCAACACCAAACCTCCTTGCTTCAGCATGATTTCTATCTTCTTTTGCAAACTGCGAGTTTGCATTTGAAAACAGCACTGTGTTGCTTCGTTTGGCAGGAGCCATATTTATTACTAAAAGGGACCCTTAATCAACAGTATTTCCACTAAAGCAAATACCAATTTACTAAAGATATTTTTATACACACGTCAAGCTCACAGCTTGAAATGACTGCAGAAAGAGACTCATAATTCTGCGAATTCATTTGTGCCGGAAGGGCATTCATACTCCAAATTCTGGCCCGCCTTTTTTTTTTTTTTTTTTTTAAACGTTAGAATAACATTCTTATGCACACTTGTACTGAATAAAACCAACCTTCTTTGCAGAATTATTTACTCTTTCAAGCATTTCTTTCCACACACTTATTACCCCCCTTATCGATTGCCAACTCAGATACTATTGTTCAAATGCTTGAGAAAAATCCTCAATGAATGACCTCAAAAGATAAGAGCATCGCACATGCATCTTTCAGGTTTCTATGTAAAGAAAAGGATGCACGTTATATGGGGAATACACCTAAAAATTGATAATTATAATTTGAAATTATAATATGTGCGTTATACACCGGTGCATGTTATATGCCAGAATATACAGCAATACACCTATTTGAACAACTGAAGAAGGCTTAAAAAAACTCTTAAAAATGTGGAATATCAATAAACTCCAAAAAAGTAGTTGAAAAATGCACAAAAGGATGAAGAAGATGACAAAATATGTAAAATAAATCAAATCAAGCATAGTAAAAATAAAAATGCAGCTAGTCAATCTCAAGTCATATAAGGCACAGGCAGAAAATGTTATTTACTGCTATTAATGTTCTACTTGAAATGGAAGCATGGGGTAAAAATGCAATTATGGGGATTTGTAAGTGCATGCAGAGTTTTAATTGTTTCCCCTTTGGCGCATGTATATATATAGCATTTGATTTTTATTTCAGATTATTACTTTTTTCATTTTATTTTAACAATGTAATAATTCTTTTCCAGAAGTTTTAATTAATGAGTAGTCTGGATTACAGAATTTAGTAACTGCATATTACACATCAATCTAATATATTATAAGGGCATACCATACATTTAGCAAACATTATTATCTGAAAAGTGACAATGAATAATTTAATGAAAAGAATAATTCAATTTTTTAATTATATCATGCAACCAAGCAATAAACATATATTTATTTTTTATATCACT